CGGATGAGGGTTTTTGTAGTACTTACAGGAATCTTGGAGTGTTTTCACAGAAAAAACAGCAAATCTTTGAAAAGTGGATGTGAAGGGCGTAAAGAGACAGCAACTAGCCTTAGCCTGTAACTTAGTGCCTGCGAGGGATACCATAAATGCGGGTGCTCCAAAAGGGCGCTCAAATTCGGAAAATTATTAATGCGCCAGATGATCACGTTACAGTACTTTCCAGCACCTGGTCCATCCGAAGCCGGCCACGTTTTTTTGCTCATGGACCCACTATGATCCTACCCTTCGACAAATACCAACGAGGTACAGATCCCCTGTAGCCTCGTATTTTCAGTTGTCTGATAAATCTTCCATCTCTTCCTCCCTGAGCATTTCACTTACATGCTCTTGACCTGAAAGTTGCATAACCAGTGGGGCTCTGGGCACCAAATGAGTCAACTTGGTTACCCTCTGAAGCTCGGTAACAGCCTATCTGCTTGACTTCTCTTCAGTTATCGAAGATTTTTGCTATGGTTCGAAGAGGCCGCCGAAAAAGTATGGGACTTGAGATTCGCCCCGAGCGAACGAGACGACCTACGGGCGATGAAAACGGTAATTTTGTACCTTTTGAAGGCTGCGAATAAGACCCTAATTGCGAAATAGGATTCCAAGCTGCATCAAGAGACGAGTCAAATTTTCAAGGCCAGTCCCATGATAGCGGTTGCAACTTAGCCCAAAGGTCAAATCGTTGCTCAAGTGACGGCAAACATTTGCTTCTCAGTGGAACAAGAAGAAAATCGCGGATTGTCAAGTTCGCGATACCTTCACCTATGTCTCAGTCAAAGATGTCTTCGAGCAATACACCTGATGCTAGCATACAATCGTCGAGGGAGTTCACTGGGTCAATGATATCATTCTCATCTCAGGACGCCTTTGGTGGGCAGCTACCTAAGCGGAATAGGACGGCTTCAGAGACTTGCCGGACCACCCGGCAAGCAGTACGAAGGATTACAGAGGCTTCGAACACAACTGAATTCTTAGCTGACCTACACGAACGGAGTTTCCACAATTCTCAGCGACCGCAAATTGGAACTTTATTTTATCCAATAAATTCGGGCACATCAAACGATCTGTCAAAGAAAAACCAGACTACTAATGAGACGGAATACAGTAACTCTTGTGCAGGGGATGTGGGAGGGGATCCGGAAGGCAAACTTTCAGGAGAATCGCGGCCTACAACGCATTTTCTTCGCCCTCCATCGGGGCACAAGTTGACCGAAGCAAATTCTAAACTCCGGAAATCCGAGTCCTCGCCTCTGAGAAAACTGGCTTTGGAAAACCGGCATCGAGAAAACAATGCTCAGCTCAGTGGTGTCCATTGCTTGTCTGGCTTTGATAATAGTGGTGAGAAAGACTCTTATCTTGGAGCCAAGTGCGCCCCAGCCGATTCTCTAACCATGGATTTAGCGATTACCATATATCAGAATCCAGGATCAGGCAGCCTCAGTCGTGAAGCCTGGAAAATTCATGATCAAAAAGGAGGCTCTTACGGAAGCAATAATCGAAATTTTGATCGATTCGCCACATCTAAGATGCCGCTTAATGGTGAACTGCGGCAGGACTCCTACACGTGTGGTCGTGAATCCCAAACTTGGGCAAACTTTGTCAAAAAAGTCAAGCTTAGCAAAAACTCCAGTGATTAAATTCAATTAACCGAATCAAAGGGAGATAGAACACTTTGTTTATTTTGTACCCTATAGACCTATAGAAAGTTGCTCTGCTGCGCGAAAAGGAGAAACCACGCGCGTCAACATCAAATTATGCGCAAATTCGCATAAATTGGTTAACGTAATTCATCGGCGGTCTGCCACTCTAACAACATTATGTAGCGGTGAATGAGGGTATTTCAACTACTTTCGTTAATCAGTTGATAAATGACGATTTTTGCACGAATTGACCCTGTGCCTAATCTACCCGCATCAAATCCACCTTGGCGGAGATCTTCTCCTCAGCAAAACTTGCTGAATAGACAAACTGCCTTGCGCATGCGATAAGGACTCGTAAAACTCAATTGGTCTATTTAATTACCAAGCCGGCTCAAGCTCCTCTTTGACAGGTAGGCTGCCTTCATCTTTTGCCTAATATACACGAGATTCGACACTGCCAATATATATGATCAGCCAGCGGAAGTGACGCACAGAGACACTGATCAAATGGTAGAAAAAATTGCGAATCCCGTTGACCAAGCGTCTGAACAGCTTCTCTATATCAAGATTTGGTCACTTGAATGAGATAGGTGGAATCAATTAGACTGTCTCCTCGTACAGTATGCCGGTCAAATAATTCGCGCGTGGAATGCGTCGCATGAGAATACTTATTCAAGGGCTATGAACTCTACTATTATTGTGCAGCCACAGCCGGTCGCCGATATGCCATTTTTCTAATATTTGCGCACGAAAAGAGCCAGCTCATGGCTAATGGAAGACTTGGCGGGAGAGGCAGCCGATTTCAACGGCTTCCCGAGAAGTATATGCGGTAGGGGGAAGATGTGGAAAGAAGCGAGCATGCTGGCCCAACTCCAGGCCGGCATGGCTAGATTCAATGGTTTCTCCACCGAAGCAACTTCGTAGAGACGGATCGATGTGCATGTAGAAAAGCAAGAGAGATCGTGGAGAACTTCCTCTTTCGATACCAGAAGTGTACCACACACCGGAGTGACATATCTTTTTCTTGGGCACAAAATCGCCGTCAGATGACGAATATTGACGCTCAATCTAGAAGCAGTGCGAGCCTCAACACGGTTTGCAATCGCCACGGGCCGACTCGACGCCGCCTAGCCATGTCGACCAACACAGATGAACCACTCCCCTCAAATAGCCCCAACCTATCTCCTCGTGCCATAATGGGAAGATGCGCCTCAACTGCTGAAAAAAGGATGTTGAGCACTTGAAGAGGCGCTGTCAAGCCAGCCAACTAACAACCACTAATCCACGAAAATCCATCACAACGTTGGTAGCTGTCATGACATATACGAAAAGCAAGTATTTATGAGCTCTGGGCAGACACGGCATATACTAGGGACATGTACTTATTGATTTATCAGTGCTACTTGCCCTTTCGGCTGCACCGCCTGGTGTTAATAAATTGTGTGTGTGTGTGTGTGTGTAGACACTGCTGGGCTATATTTAGAAATAAAAGGCTATGATGTGTTTGAAGGTGCGTTTCAATGATTCGAGTTTATCTTCAAATACTTGCGGACATATTTGAACAGAACTGATTTTGTCTAGCGATGGTAGCCTGACCACTCTTATTTCCGAGGAATTAGGAATTAGGGTGCACGATTTCATTATTCTACCAATCCATACACTGTAGAGGTTTGTCCATAATTTAGTCCATTTTTAGCACACATTAGCAATCAATCTATCAAAGAGGGTATCGCGATAATCCGAATGACGGATTCATAAAGGAAAAACTCAAATCAGACACACTGAAGCTTTCGTTATACCAAAGGTTACTGTTATTCTTCATAATGACTTCATCTTTTACAGGAGGCTAGAAAACACTTCGCTCCAGGGTATGGCGTCGACTAACGATATTCTCCGACGCAATAAGGCTTTGCGGTTTCCAAAGCAGCTGGACTGGTGATGCATTCAATTGGAGGGTCGTGAGTGTGCTTGTAAACGAGCTGTAAATTTTCGAATATCGGACGAAAGGAGAGATTTCGGTAGAGCTTCAGTTGCATCTCGTCAAGGTGGAGATCTGGGTCATCTAGGCTCGTGAAAATCCAACAAGGATTTCCAACAAAGTCAAGACCTCTTTGACGACTCCATTCTGGCCTGGGCTTCCAGTTGGGATAAAAGATCTTCTTGTCAAGAGATGATTGAGGCGTGCATAGTGGTACGTGATTGAGTTCCAACTTTTTGGTACGGGGCTTTCTACGAAATCTTGTAAAGACGTTCAAAACCTTTCCCATGATATCGGTCTGGTAGTTGGAAGAAAGCTCCCACGAAAGCAGTATAAATTTGTCTGCAAAAATCACGGTGCTGTCATCCGAAGATAGTGCCCTTTTGAAGACGAAATGTAGGAGCTTGCGTAACTTATTTAAGCCTTCCCGGCCAGGACTAGAAAAACACGGGCCCTATCAAATTGCAATTGGATTGTGGTTCAATTTATTGCGTGCTCAAATAGCGCAAGACAGCATATTTATGATTATCCTCGCTTATTTTTGGGTTAGTATAAATAAGAAAAAGGCAAGGATAAAATTGAGATTCCATGCCTTATGAAAATTGAAGCAGTCTGCTAACTTTGCGACTATACTCAGCTTCACGGATTTTTGCAATTCATACAGCATTTTTGTAGTGTTGTTGAGAATTTATCAAGGCTAAAGGGAAATTATGGCTCTGATTGGCTAATACCTCTTTGCAGCGGTACCCTAATTCACATATCCACTTAGCTCCCGGGAATTTGATGAGGGTATTGCTTACGGACTATCCAATTATGTTAGGCGTATGTACCCGCAAAAATCACCGCAGGAACCACATCAAACACCTCCGTCCGCCCCACATAATGACTGAATTCTTCAATTTTTGGCTAAGTCCTTTATCCTCAGTAGGTATCACCTTTCTATAGCGGTTAATAGAGAATATTAGTAGTAAAAAGTAGACAAAAAGAATAAAAAATAGTTTCAAGGGAGTATGCTATCAAAACAACTTCTAAATTTTCACCACGGGATAAACTGAAAAAAAAGACTGGCGAGCTGATGGTATAGTACTGTGATCAAAATATACATTTCTCACACTACACACTACATTAACGGCTACTCCGACCAGAATCAACCACCAAGAAGAGCCTGGAATTTACTCAATCTAGGGGTACCTGTAGTTTTCAATGCGGGAATTTCTATAGAAAGTAAATTTCATTAAATTTAATTAAATTTCGTGAGGATTGTTGCTCCATTGGAACAATCAGTCGTGTATTGCCCAAAACAGTGTTTAATAACAAGGAAGAATTAAGTTGAGTCATCATCTTATCCATCCGAAAAAGGAAATCCTTGGCAAAATTATGCAATCGCGGTTCTTACATATTAGAACCGCAGAACCTCCGGTTCTGGTGCGCGGTTCCAGACCTTGGAACCGGAACCGCACCATTTCGAGGTCTACATGGACCTCTTTCCGCGATTCTTCCAGTTCCTTGCGATATAACGCTGCTTCGGCCGCGATGGCCTCTACGTTCTTGTATGCTTCTGACATGCGTTTGCATTCCTCCCCAAGTTCGGCGTTTGCAATCCGAAGCTCGGTGTTCGCTCGTAGGATCGGTTTAAGGTAATGCAGAATCTGCTGCGCTAGGCCCTTGGTTGCCCCTGGAAGTGATCCGACTTCATTGTCTCCTTCTGCAGCAATTCCCTGTGTGGTTGTGGCCACTGGACCCTGGCGAACAAGGCCCGACCTCGTGGTGGGTAGAACGGGTGCTGCGTCGGGAACGGGAGGGTCAGACGCGTCGCTGGACGCGTTCCCTCCGCGCTCGCTACGCTTCACCGGCATGTTGCCACACAAGGGGGCTAGGGATTGATTAATAGGGTTGGATATACTTACCTCTTCCTTTATTCCTTTTAGGGATTGTCTCAACCGCGATCGAGACTATCTGTCCGCCCTTTATGTATGCCACCTTGGCCCACAGCTGTTCCGATAACAACCTGTATTACATAATCCAAGGGGTTGCTCTTGGATAGTTAGTCCAGCAAGCTTCCCTCGCAACGCAGGTCACACGGCGACCATGGACACGCATAATGTCCCCACGTTGGACCTTGGACTTTCAGATGTGGTCATCGGAAGGGAGCTGAGTCGCTCCGAACCTTCTTCATTATACGAAGCGCAGCTGTTCGGAAAGCCGTGCATTATGAAACTTGTAAGGACTATTGTTGATACCTAGGATGATGCTGACAGATCAGTTTCACGACAATGGAGACCCAGGCTATACCAGAAAAGGTCGGGACTTGAATCGCTTTCGCTGCGAGCTGAAGGCCTATCAGAATTTCCACGAATTCGGCGTGTGCAACCGCGGCTTTGTTCCCGCATTTTACGGCTACATCGATCGGCTTGACCCCTCTGCTTTCGACCCACCACTTCATAACTTCAGCAGAGACAAACACAAACCACGCGCCATTTTCCTCGAATACCTGTCGGAATCAGAAAGGCTGAACTGTCTGAATTACTCACAAGACCTCATTTGTCACGCGGTTCAAGGTCTAAAAGAGATTCATAATGCTTTTGTCCACCATCGTGATATCTACCCCAAGCATATGCTTGTTGTGCCTGGCGGAAGGATAGTATGGGTTGACTTCGATGTTGCGACAACTTTCGGCGATATGGGTCCTCTCGAGAACGCCTACTGCGAATATGAAACCGAACTCGCGGAGAGCTTTGGGAAACTTTTGGTTTGTTCGGTTTTCTTGCCTTGAATATCATTTACTGAGCGTATTAGGCCGAGGACCAGAGGCGAGAGCTTCCCCCGAACACCAAGTATTATTGATTAATGAGGCTTAAGGATCGAAGCCAAAATTGTGACAGGGATCGTATCATGCGCGCATGCTCACAAGACGACCTTTGCTGCATCTCGCACGTCACAGGGCTGGGGAAGTTAGACAGCCACACGTTTGTTCCCCTACCAACCACTGCAAACCGGGATTATAATCCGGCGCTTCCTTCCACATCGCCGTTGGAAGCAATGAAGCCTTGATCAAGATCCCCTCATATGCCGATCAAGCCTCATATGAGCCTCACGTCTTTGAAACTGAATACTGGATGGAGCTGGGATCTGCCATATATGACGGTTCGTGCTGTATACAACGCTTCGGGGGATAATTTTTAATTTCGGGTTGTACAACGGAACGACATTATCCATCGCAAACGAGGATTTGAGTTCTGGCCAGATACCAAGACACCATGGAAATTCGTGCAATAAGATATTTGAAAGTGAAGCATCTATTGGGCCTTCAAACTCACGAGCTATAAATGGAACTGTAGCCAATTTCAGTTGAAGAGCCTCCATGTCTGCAACGCTGTTGGTCATCCAAGTAGTCCAGAGTTATCGGTAGTGGTTTATTCCCATCGTTGCGTTTGCGTGGACTTGGGACTCTCTCTACCACCCTCTCCTGGGAAGGTGCGAGTAGGACATTGACTGTCTTTTTTTTAGTTTTAGTTTTATTTTCTAAATCTTCAATCGCAGAGAGCACCAGCTTCTTTCGAATGTATAGGAATGAGACTACCATTATATGCCATGACGTAGTAAATCCCTTGTGGAATTGTGATGATGCCTAAAATAGGGGAAATGATGCGACGGCAACAAACAATAACGATGCCTGCATTTGGCACACACAGTCCGTGGCTTTGCTAGGTATCTTCTGAGAAGGCACAAAGAACCTTCCAGAGAGATGAGCAGAGGTATTTATTCATGATAGTCGCAATGAAAAATCAAATAATATTCTCGGGGGACTATATTGGTGAATCTTAACGGCGCTAATGGATCCATTGTTCCCCTCTTGGATATTGTAGTATTGCCATTCGAATGGGTCTTTGTCAAAATGTCTCGTCAAACTCTGCTATGGATTGCTCCAATCAGAGAAACTGTATGGCCTAAAACTAATTCCTGGTCTGAACCAGTAGCGGAAGCGTCTTCGTTATTGCAGGATTATATACCATGGAGCTATTGAACATATTCTTCTGGTGGCCTTATGATTTTGACCAGCCTCATCAACTACAGATATCTTTTTCGTGTCCGTTAGCAAGAAATATTCCGGAGTCTACGCAGGCAGTACGCAGACAAGAGGCAGGCAAGAAACAGGTCCTTGGTTATCAATTTACTTCTCTGCCCTTTTAAATAGAGAATGAGAAATACAGGATAATTTGATAAACAGAGAGCCGAAATCAACCCTGTGAGACAGATACGATGTAATTTTGTTTAACTTAACGAACCAAATCTGGAGTCCTAGTGACAAGGGTCCTCTAAAGAATAGAGCTCATCAACTAATCTGTTCGTGGCGGTCTTTCTCGAGACTATTTAGCTTCATCTTTAGTGTTAGAATTCAAACATTCCATTTGGCAGGGTAAGTAGCTCGGCAGTCGTATCTAGACCTCGCCATATTGCTTTTTTGGGTACCCAGCAGGTACCCGCGAACCCGCCAAGAACCCATCAGCCTGTATATTACAGACTTACAACTATATTACAGTATATACAGTGACACAGCAAAAGTTTGGATACCTCTTCTGCTACCGCCTTCCTGAAGCAGCCTCACCGTCCGGTATCCTCGTCTTTGATTAGTGGAGGCCTGTCCGGCAGAATTAGGGGTGTTCAAACTTTTGCTGTGTCACTGTATTGCACATAAAACTGTGTAATATGCTATATATTACCTGTATTGAAATTTATTGGCGGGTTTTGGGTCAAGGGTCGATACCCGACCCGCGATTTTGGCGAGGTCTAACAAAGATCGGTTGCGACTTTTTGAAATGTTCAAATGCCGCAAGATTACATCATTCATGGGGTTAATCTGATGGTCACGATGCAACCAGTAACCCCACTTAAGCTATCTTCCGGATTTCGGAACCCCCTGAACCACGAATCACACTACGAAGACAATCGGTGTGCAAAACTTCAGCCAGCCACCAGCACCTGGATGTAGGGTGATATAATTGGACCCAGAGCATCGATGCGGTCCAACTTGTATGACGCAAAAGACCCCGTACCGGAATTTCTCATGTCGCCATCATACACCAACCTAATCAAGTGGTTGTATATAAACATGTACCCGAGTCTGACTACTTCTAAAATGTTGTTTCTACAATCTTGAAACTCCCCCACACCTTCACAATCTACTAATATTTGACCCTGAAAACTACATCATGGCAAAGGTTCGGTTTTCGTGAAGCCTTAAAAGCTTCTTTTAATTCTGAACAATACTTATATTTTTCTAGCCAGTAATTATCAGATTTGAGGATCCGGAGTCGTGGGACAGTGTGAGAGAAAATGTTGATAGGTAAGCGGAAAATTAATTGAAGGGTTTTTTTTTGTTTGCAACGGTGCGGCTGACATACCTGAAGCATTTTGGACAAATACACTGGAACCTCACAGTATCCTTCCACCAAATCTTTCCCCCCTATTATACTTGGTGCAGAGTATGTGTGCTCTCCGTACTTTGGAAGGATTATCTAACGTGGATAATGCAGACTCGATGAAGATGCCGTCGAGGAGTTGAGGAACCTGAGTGGAGTACTGGTGCACTATCCGGACGAAGAGGAAGATTAGTGTCTTACTTATGCTCACTTGGCTGCAATATAGCAGGCCGGACTTTGTACCAAGATCGAACTTGAGGCAAACCAGAAAATTAAGATGCGAATACCCCGCTCACGTAGCTCAGCCAATAAATTTCAATACAGGTAATATATACCATATTACACAGTTTTATGTGCAATATAGACTGTAGTGTAGTTGTAATTCTGTAATATACAGGCTGATGGGTTCTTGGCGGGTCCGCGGGTACCCGCTGGGTACCCAAAAAAGCAATATGGCGAGGTCTAGTCGTATCTGTCGATTGAAGTGGAGAATACGTTACTGCCAGCAGCTGGATGATTCAGCGCATACCCGATCTCCTACCTGTTTCGTATAGTAATCGGAGTATTCTCGGAGTAGCAGCCCTGTAACACGCTAAACAACCCCTGAAATATGGCCTTCTGAGCAGTGGCCTGCAGATAGTTGCCCTGAAACGAAGGAACGTAGTGAAAGGGTATACTACCCTGCACGACCTGCCCGCGGAACTTTGCTGTTGCTCCCACTATCAACCTCGTTGCTGATCTCGACGCTGGTTCGTCCGTTTTCCTGCCAAGAAATGCTCTTATTCGGTGTCTCTTCTGCCTTCTTTGGCGTCGTGCGTTTTCTCGCAGGTCTTGTCGCTTTCTTCTTGTCAAGGCATCCTTGTCTCTTGTCGCTGAAGAACTTCCGACATCCCGGTCTTCTGCGATATGATTCCCTGCTTGTTGTTGCTTGATCCGTGTCCGCCACGTATCCCACAATCGCGCACTTCTGTTTGACACTGACGCTTTCTTTTCTATGCATTATCATCCCCGTAATTTCTCGCTGCTCCATGCTCCTCCACGTTTCACTTCTACGCCCAACTGCCTTGCGTTCCTTATGTGAGCCTACGGAAGGGCACCGTGTGTTCTTTCGAAATTGTCTGTCCTACTAATGCCTGCTCTCCTTGCCCCAACTACATTCTGTTCACGCTGCGCCAGACCGTGGCACTCCACACAGTTTAAGACTTGCGTGGATTGCCGGCGGGGGGCATCTCTGCGGGGGTTCAGAACGAGACAACTCGCCGCTGCTGCTGGAATGGGTAACCTTTCTAGCGAGCCGCCTCCGTCTCCAAATTCCCTCGCCGTGCCTGTCTTTTCCACTCTGTTTTTTGCTTGCTCGACGTGTGCGCGGCCGTGCCACCCATCCTATGATACGGCGACCTGTTATCGCTGCCGCCAGCCAGCTACATGGAGGACGACGGCATCTTCCACGGGGTCGGGAACGCTGAGAGTGTTGCTTCCTGGAGGTCCTCTGCCCGAGCCGTGCTTCCAGCCGTCACCGTTCTCACAACTGTCACCAACCGCCTCCCGCAAAAGGTCCAATCCGACTCCACTGCGCGCCATAGTCAAAAGGCAAAGATCGCTTGCGCAGGGGACATTCCAGGATAATTTAGATCGAGCGCTTTGTTTCCTACGCGATGAGCTAGAAGCTCGGGCCGTCGCCTCCGATGTATTTCCCCCGGAAATCTCCTGCTCACACATACGAACATCCGTGGCCAGGTACGAGGACGGGATTTCCACCGCGGCGAAGAGACATGTCTGTTGCTTATGCGGAAAACTTGTGCCCGCCACTAATACCTACCATTTGGATATTGACGATCCTTTGTTGTTGCCATTCGAGGGAGCCCTTGATACTTGCGGCCGGCATGGTGACACTTGGGATCTCTGCTCATCATGCTATGATTCACTCAATCGAAATGTCATTCCTAAGTTCTCTGCGAAGAACCTTGTGAATGTGACTCTGTGCCAGAACTTTCCGTCCGCTCTGGAAGGCCTTACTCTGACAGAAGAGTGCCTCATTGCAAAGTGCCACCCTCTTGGTGTCGTTTTGAAACTGCGACCGGGCGGCCGCTCCTCGCCAGTCAGCTACCATGCCCTCCGCGGTCATTTCATTGTCATTCCACAAGATCCAGGACCACTACTCGATATCCTGCCGAGCCCGGACTTAACTCTGCATGGCCTTATCAAGGTGTTCTGGTTAGGTGCCAGACGCCCCGCAGATTCGGACCTGAATCCATTTCTTCTCGTTCGGAAGGCCAAGGTTCTGGCGGCCTTGCAATATCTTGTTCAACATAACCACCTCTACCGTAACCTCACGATCAACCGTCCCATGATCGACGACTGGGCCGATGACTTCATTCCGCCAGAGTTGCGAGATAGCATCATTTGCCTCGACGAGTCCGATCACCATGAGCGTGAGGGGTACACGGTAAACCTAGAGACAGGGAACTACGAGAATGATCTTCAGGCTGCCCAGGATAGTGCGCTTGACGCTAGTGGCGGTGAGCCTCTCATCACCGGCTCCGTCTCCACGGACATCAACGGAGAACGTCAGGACCCCGACCTTCGTGCGTTGGACGCTTTGTTTAGCGTAATCACGAACAGACCGGCACTATCGCGTGAGGACTTATCGGTTAGAGAAAGTGAGAGGAACACGCAAGCCTTCGATCATCGAAAAGTGCCGATGATCTCTTACACAACCCATGGAGAAACCACTCTAGTGGATCACTGGACAGATCCGCATTACTTTACCGCTGCATTCCCAACCTTGTTTCCCGCAGGGATCGGTGGCCATCTTGATGAACGAACTATCCCGATGTCGCTTGCCGCTTTTGCGGACTGGGCTTTGCGTCACCACAGTAAAAGGTGGGTCGCTTTCTTAAAAATATTAATTAAATAGTGATGCCTGCGTCTGCTTATTCGCGTAGGTTCGCACGCCACAGGACCTTCATGTACCTGCTGTATGATGTGATCCAGCTCCGGAAGTCTTCCATGGGCAACGCATTCCTCGTCAAACGGCAGAATTGGCAGTCTACAAAAGACGACATCGCCTCTCTCACGGTGAACCAGCTCCAGGACGCAGCCAAGTCGGTCACAACTGGCCAGAAAATAGAGGACCCGGTCATTAGGCGACTGTTGCGAAACATCGAGACTATCGGGATGCAGGTTCCGGGGTCCTTCGCTCAAAAACTAAGAATGCGCTCTGAAATCCGAGGACTGATTGCTCGGTACGGCATGCCCGCTTTTTGGATCACCATCAACCCCTCCGACCTGCGGAATCCCCTGGTCCTGATCTTGGCCGGTGTAGAGTACTCTGGGGATCATCTACCCACGGCAAATGCCGCTATCCGTGAGGCTGCAGCTACATCTAACCCGGTGGCTGTCGCCGACTTCTTCCATCACGTCTGCAAGGCCGTCCTGGACGGCCTCTTCGCTACCAATACTGGCCAAATCGGCATCCTTGGCGATCTCTCGAACCATTTTGCTGTTGTCGAGACGAACGGTCGAGGCATGCTGCATCTCCACGGATTGGCATGGGCGAGGGGGAATCTGGCTTTCACTACTCTACGAGACCGTCTCCTCCAGGATAGTGAATTTGCAGCTCGCATGATTCGCTACTTAGAGTCAATCATTACCCAAGGCGTTGATGAGAGTATTCCGCACGACCCTGAAGTGGACCTTCCCAGCATGCCACCGTCAGCCACAGACTTTGAATGCGATGACGACTTTCATCTCCGACTATCCCATGATAGCAACTGCGTCGCTCGTAAAATGCAAGTCCATTCGAAACACCATCTCGCCACATGCTTCAAGTATCGCCAGACGGGATCCAGGAAGAATGCTTGTCGATTCGGCATGCCTAGAGATCTCGTTCCTACCTCCAACGTAGACGAGTTTGGACTGATTCACCTCGCCCGAAATCACGCCTGGATAAATCCGTGGAATCCCGCCATCGCGAGTTGTGTCCGGTCTAATCAAGACATCTCTTGGATTCCAACGATTTCCAAGTCTCTTTCTCTGATCTACTATATCACGAACTACGCCACGAAAGATGATGTCTCCCCATGGCAGATAGTAGCAAAGGCTGCTTTATTGAGGCAGTCCATTGAGAAGGCAAAAGTTGCTGAACGACCAACCGCAACAGACCTCCGGCTTCGACAAAAGGGTATGGGGAGTTTTGCACTACGCTGCTTTAATGCGCTCTCTCATGACCGGGAGATCAGCGGTGTGCAAGTCGCTAGCGTGTTGCTCCAGCTACCCACCTATTACACAGTCAACTACAACTTTACCCGAATCAACCTCTGGTGGTTAAGGCGTTATGTCCGGGCGATAATTCAGTCAGATAACCTTGTAAGCAGTCGCTCTTCCGACCCTATCGCAGAAGAACCTTGCACGTACGAAACTGGCGACACCGCCCCCGTAAGCATCTTTGACAATTATAAGTGGCGAGGACCACACCTGGCTCATCTTGCATTGTTTGAATATTGCATGCTTGTAAAGACCAAGAATATACGCGATACTATTGCAGATGATGTGGACTTCGACCCAAGTCATCCCAGATATGCCAAGCATGTGCAGCGCCTGGCGCGCTCCCGATCCCAAGTGGCCACCGTGACTTTCACCGGACAGCTAACAGAGTTCCAGGCCGCGGAAGATGCGATTCCTGGAGGTCATCCGAAAACAACTGCGATTATAAATGACATATCCGAGATATTATTAGGACTCTTTTGTTCCTGGGCCCACTTGGTAAATCTCTTCCGACGGTACGCGACACAACGGGACACCTGCTCTCAAGTATGGACGGCCGTTAAACCAACCCTCCCACTTCACATCCAAGGATTTGCCAGAAACATCGAATTACTGCGGAAGTCTAAAGAAGACTGCCAAGCTGATGCAAAATTGTGGAACTCTGCAAACGGCACCGCTGACTCATTTCACCACGATGTCGATGGATTTGGCCCGGCGACTTTTGCTTCTGATAACGATGAGGCCGAAGAATCCTTTCACCTGCAAGATGAGACTTTCAATTCAGAAACATTGATTGCAGCCTACCACTCCATCACCAAATTATGGCATCGAGAAATTCTAGTCGCTGCGCGGCGGATTCCCCCCTTGCTCCGCGCGATAACCCAACCCCGAAGCTTAGCTCTACACAACCTTCAGCCGGTCGACATCTTACGCACTCCTGCGTACGAAATATCTGGCCTAAGATTCATCCCACCATCAACTTTACAAGCGTGGGAGTTTCGACTGAAAGATGTCGCTAACCTTGATCATGAGGAAAGCGCGGATCATGATGCTGCGACCTCTGGCTTTGTGCTTGACGATTTCGACGTCCAGATTGAAGATGGCATTTTGCACCCTATGCTGGCTAGCTCGGACACGATCCCTATAATGGGCGACCGCCGATCGCGGGTTGGCCAGCATCCCACTGGTGCCTCTCTTGTGTCCCTAGTCAGCGAAGTGATCCCGCTAAATTGGAAACAAGGAATGATTGTCGAGAGGGTGCTATCTGAGGCTTTGGCCTGGGCAGACCACCCTTATGATTCGACCCGACGCAAGCAGACCCTCCTCTATGTTGGAGGAGAAGGCGGCACGGGAAAGAGCCAAATCGTTAAGGCAATTGACGCCGGTATGAACCTTATCGAACGGAAACATGAGGTGATCGTCATGGCGCCGACGGGTGCCGCGGCCGACAACATCGGCGGGAATACCTACCATACGTCTTTAGGAATCTCCATCGACCGCTCGCGAAGAACTGCAATGAGTTCCCGAGTAACACGGCTCTGGTCTCGCAAAACCATCATGATCGTGGACGAGGTAAGCATGATGGATTTAACCATGATCAGCGTGATTGATAATCACTGCAAGATCGCGAAATCCCTGGACAGATCCTCCACTGATCTTTTCGGCGGTCTTCCCGTCGTCATCTTTATCGGCGATTTTTTCCAGTTTCCACCTGTTCGGGGCCCGGCACTATGGAAGGAACCAAGAAGGGGCGCGGGTGAGGATGAGAATGGCCGACTCCTCTGGCATCAGTTCAAACAGGTAATCATCTTGGATGAGCAAATGAGACCATCGGAAGATGCTCCATTCCGCGATCTCCTATCGCGAGCCAGAGTAGGGACTTTAACTGATGCCGATCGATCCGTCCTTAACAGCAAAGCCATCACGTCCTTAATCAGCCCTCAATTAGAAGATGCTACCACTGTCGTTAAGCTAAACTCTCTGCGTCACCAGGTGAATCGCGTTCAGATAGAGCAATTCGCACGCTCCCGATGCCAAAATGTCTATATATTTCCTGCGCATCATTCGCGGACCAAGTCAACTGGCCCTATCAACCTCCGACTTCGTGCAGATGACTTGCTCCACCAACCAGACCAAGGCACTAAGATCCCTTTCTCGGGGCTCTTCCTGTACACCTCGAACATGCCTAGCACTATCCTGACCAACATTTGCACTCTGCTCGGCCTGGTCAATGGTGCAGCGGGGACAGCTGTAGGAATCGCGGTAGACCCTACTGGTCGGTTAATATTTCGTAACCAGTCTTGAACTGAACCCCCCTAACACCTCCCCACCAGCTGAATTCTTTGCAATCGACGAGCTCTATATCATGTGCACCAAACCGCCTGCCTGCATTTTATTCAAGCCGGATAAAGCAAGGGCCACAGGATTTGAAGACCTTGAACCTTCCGTCATGCCAGTCTTTCCATTAGAGCGTTCTATCACCCTGAAAGGGTATTCGGTACGAAGGAAGCAAGTCCCCATGTGCCCAGCTTTCTGCCTCACCGACTACAAAGTGCAAGGCTCAACCCTTATCGCTGCAGTCCTCGATCTCAAAGATGACACTACCATCCGGGGACAAGACCATCACCGGAAGTATTGCTCGACGTATGTGCAGCTATCGAGACTTCGATCCTCCAAAGGACTTCATCTCCTTCAGGAAGTCGGCATGGAAGACCTCCGATTCGGACCGGATCCTCGACTGTTAACTGAAATGCAAAGACTCCAAGAACTCGAAAAGGCAACGATTACTGCGTGGCAAGAAGGTTCGGACATATAAGCGTGCGCTTCATCCTAATAGAGTAATATAAACGCGTAATGTCATTTATTGCTTCGGACTGGCAGGTCATCATATCATGCACTGATTCTGCAAAAGGAGGTCCACGTCGCACGTAATCCTCACCGGTCAGACGAATGCACATAACACCCAATACTGAGGGACCACCTCTGCTCTGTTCATTTTGACTTTGCGGATATATTTTCGTAATCATCCTCGTCCAGTCATCGCACCTTGTGCCGCACTGTGCCACGCAACTTGGTACGATACAGTTGGCCGATAGTAGCGAAATGCATGTATCTTTCTGGTGCCTCATCTAAACCAAGCGTTCGACTTTCATGTTACCACTCGGCTCCGCTTCACTTTTCTCACTTATTTCGTTTCAGGGCCACAGCGTGCGACAGCGCGCGTCACCAGTCTCAACACCTTCAATCAATCTACAATCAATCATCTGATTCTATTGGACATGTTCAGTACTAGCCAGTACATCGATTCCTCATACTGACAAATAACTATGTGGAGCTTTGTTTTGTCATATTTTGTATTTAGTAACGTGATTGTAATATTCGGTAGATAGATTGTCCGAGCTACCATACAAAATCGTATGGTAACAGAGACATTCGCAATTAAGACTCTTTGCTATCTCATTCGTGCATGGCCCACAGCTGCTCCGACAAAGGAGCCCTTTAATAAAGTCACGTTATTTTTTTACACCCGCTCCGCTGTAACCCGCTCAGTGCCGTCTAGGCTGCGTCACTATCCGCATTATCGTACGATAGTTATCGATCGATCGTATCCAACTGCCGATAACGATAGCTTTTCATTATCGATTATCCGCAGCGGATACGATACGGAATTTTTTGGCCTCAGCGGATATCGTAAGATATCCTTCGGATAATAAACATTACAAATAGGCCAAGACTCGTGATCTCGTGGAGCCTGCATAGATTATGCAGTTTTTCTGGTATTTTTTGTGTATCTTCATGGTATAGCATGATCGAAAATTGAGGATTTTGGGTGCAGTTTCGTTATTTAATACTTAGCAGCGTGTACACTCTTTGATATTAATGTGAAGGTACCCTGCGGGGCTCTGAATTCAGCTAGTTTACATGATTTTGACTATTTACATCAGATCTTTTTCTATCTCAAAGCCATCCGGCATCTTTGGCCTCTTCCGAATCCTCCCCGATCGCCCCTGCGTAGCTCAGTTGGTATTTCAGGAAGAGGAAGCCCACCATCATCACTGTCTTGATGCTCAATAGCCTGATGTGGCCTCTTACTCTGTGTTGTAGCCTGTGCAAGATGTGCTTCATTCTCCAAATCACTCTCTGGTTCATCTAGTAGCTCCTCAATTTGGTGTCTACCCTCCTCCTCGTCGTCACTAATAGGATCAATGCCATTCAGTGATGGAGAAGGCTTCCAAGACTCATTAAGGATAGCAGCCTCTCCCTCTAAGGTATACTCCTTAATTAGATCAAGCTCGCTTTGCTGGAGATCGAACTTGGAGGAGAAGAAATGGAGCATAAGCTCTTTGATTGTGTCAGGTTTCAGCTTGCCTCAGCGATAGTGGCAGATATCACGGGAACAATTAAAGAGCCGTTCAACACCAGCACCGCTTGCAGGAGTAGAGAGAGAATATCCCGGGCTAGTGCTGCAAGCACTGGATATTCCTGCTCATTCTCCTTCCAGGAGAGACGAGGGTTTCCTCTTGTAAGGCCTGTAGTATTGTAAGCCAAGACCTAGGGATTACTACAGAGATATAAACCTTTTGAGAGATATTGGATGATCTCATCCACTGGCCGATCTACCTCGGGTTGGAGAGTGTGTGAATCCATGATAAAAGCGAGATCGTCATCAGGATCAACCTGAAAGGCTTTAGGCTCTGTAGTTTTGATCTGGGGAAGAATACGCTGCTTGTAGCTTTCAAACTCGGTTTGTAACTTGTTCCGATAGATCTTCATGAAGTCAGCCTGCTCACCATTTGCATTAGTCCCTCGCCAGTCCTCATTATCAAAGTAGCGGAGCTTCTTAGATGGGCAGAGGATGGTAGCAATTGCATAGACTGTTCCATATGGCTCAGTTTTAGTAGCTGTATAATACTTCCTAAGCTTAGCTTTGGCTGCACGTAGTCCCTGGAGCATCCTAATCTTCCAGAGAACACTCTTTCGCTCAAGCTTTTCTTCAGCCGTATCAAAATGATTGAACAGTTTGTTATAGATGCTGAACACAAAATGAACTGTTACATCACGGGTCTTTGATAGCACATTAGTCACATCAAAGAATGGCTTTGCGATAAGAAGATAGTCCACTTGACGTCATTCTTCTGTAGAGAGCTTGAAATGGGAATAGTGATGTGTAGTACAGTATAGATCAAATACTCGCTGTAGTCGCTTAGCACGATCGAGCATCAAAAATGTTGAATTCCAGCGTGTGCGTAGATCCTGGATTGGCAGAAGCCTGATGGGCGTTGTTTGAAGAGACTGGAAAGCGTCACGTCGTTGAGGACTAGCATTAATAAACACAGCAAGCTCTCGGATCTAGATTGAGAATTAGTTACTAGGATATAGTAGTATATACTAGGAAAGAACATACCTTCTTTAACGTATTTATGATATTACCTGATGATTGTTCTGAATATTTTGGCTGTAGGTCATCTAGACGGGCGGGCTGCACATTGACCAGACGTCGCTCATGATAGGCTGCGTGATAATCTCGTTCATGGACTGGTGTTTTTCCATTGCTAGTTGCACCGTTAAGGGACATTTTGAAAGGAGCACCACAGTATGGTTTAATATCGATCGCTTTTCGTCTTTGCCAGCAACGTTTCGGTATGGACTGACCTCGAAGTCATGCACTTATAATTGAACTGACCTTTTCATAGCACTAGCCTGTCATTGTTTGATGCTGAAGTCTTCAAACAGCAAGTGAGTGTAGCTGTCCCGTCATTTGAAATCATGCTGACATGGAATATGCTCAAGATCAGTCACCCTCCACTACTCCTTTAGGAAACCATATGACAGACCTTGGATGAGCTCAAGAATGTTCGAAGATGCGAACACGGTGAGTTATGAAGTGCCTTCATAAGCTGCCTACTGATGATTAATGATAGATCGAAGTCGTCCCTTACACAGCCGCTTCGGCGTTGTCAGAATACAGCGAACAGCAATAGCTAACAACGTAAGTTTCTATCAGAGGCAATTTGGAGAGTATTCATCCTATGCTGACGGCTCCTGACGGCTCCCTCTATCAGAGGGCAAACGTTCGATCACGAGCCGCTCGATCTCCTCTAAGATGTTGTCGTGCTCTCTGTCCATCAGAAACGATCGCTGATGCATCTTTCTAGTCATAGGACAAATTTCAAGATGGCACTCGCCACGACCGAGCGTACTTCCCCATTGTCCTCAAAACTAAGGATGCACGTTGGGCCGGACCAGTGAATCCCAGTGTGTTTCTATTTCGCTGTTTCAAGACACCTGCTTGAAACACCCATTTCGCTCAGGTTGACGGAACAAATCTAGGAAGGCTCAGTGCGCTTTGATTAGCCATACGGTAGAGTTTCAACATGTTTTTATCTCTCCCGGCTTTATCCTGTCCGACCAAGGTTAACTGTCACTATATTAGCTTCCGTATCCCGACGGTCCAGCACCTCCTGTCCCATATCTGGTTCGAAGCCTCGACGACGGCATCATCCGGTCCCATGCTAGGTCAAGTGGGCTCTCGCAGCATCCAGCGACAACGAAGAAAAGCCGAGCATCGACGGCCACCGAGTAAGACCATGGTCTCTCCGAGAATAGTATCAACCAGTAAGGAACTGAGCTTCTGGCCACAGGGTGAGGAATAGCTCTGTCAGGCCCGATTGCAGCTGAGCAAGTGACGAGGCAGACCGCAGTACTGGATCGGCAAGAGCAGTCGTTTCAGGTCGTTTCCTACTTTAGCCTAGGCCAAATGCCACGATCTCTCCTCCAGTGAAAATTTGCCTGGGGCACGAACGGCAAAGACGAAACAGCTATGCATTGGCAGATATGGCCCACATCCATTCCCGCGCTACGGACTGACCCCTGGCCCTCCGACGTGTGATCGAGCTGGCGCCTGCTACCTCGTCTCTGTTTTCCCTATGCTGATGACAGACTACATTGACGACAAGTCCGTACCACCCCCAGTCACCAGAAATGATGCTGACATGGGCAGTGAAACATAGCCCTTGTTCGGCTGTTCCCACGTGTCCGATCGGTGTTGTAGTTTAGAGGTATGAATTATGTTATTTATTCAGAGGCAAACATGAGGCTATATACAACGAGAAGATCAAGTTGATTGGAAATCAACTTGGTTCTTCCTATACATACTTCGGGATTAATTCCGATGGTTCGGCTTGGTTCCTGATCTGCACCAGCATCATATCACAACAAAAACAGTTTGCCGTTGGATGTACTCGATCTAGCACCAATTGTCAGAAACTGGCGCAAGGTGGGTGTTTGCCACTGACCATGCTCGCGGCCTAGATGAGAATCCCAATACCAGCCACAATACACTATCCCGATCGGACTTGTAGGAACGGCCGAAGCAGTGCTGCGTTTCACTGCTTCTCTATACCAGCAAGACTTTTGGTGACTGAGGGTTGTAGAGACTTACCGTTAATGTAGTCTGGTATCAGCGAAGGCCAACCAAAGGTGTAGCGGGCTCAGCTCGATTATACGTGGACGAGGGCCCAGGATCACTCCGTATCGCTGCAAATGAATGTTGGCAATATCTGCCAATGCATAGCTGTTTCGTCTTTGCTGTTCGGATAGCAGATAAATTTTCAAATATGCCAGGACAAGGTCCCGTTCAAAGAGAGAATCGTGGTGTTTGTCCCGGGTAGAATAGGAACTGACCCGAAACGACTGCTTTCGTGGCGAGAGATCTGGGGTAGACCGAGCGCTGCGGTCTGCCTCGTCACTTGCTCAGCTGCAATCGGGCCTAACAGAGCTATTCCTCACCCTATGGCCAGAAGCTCAGTTCCTTACTGGTTGATGCCATTCTCGGAGAAGCCGTGGTATTTCTCGGTGGTCGTCGATGCTACGCTTCCCTTTGTTGTCGCCGGATGCTGCGATCATGCCTGTCGGAATACGGAAGATTCCTGATGCAGTGACAGTTAACCTTTGGTTGGACAGGGTGAACCTGGAAGAGGTGATAGCATGTTGGAACTCTACCATATGGCTAACCGGAGGGCATCGAGCATTTCTGAATTGGACCCGCTAAAAGCGCCAGGCCAAGTGGTCATATCAACCACGTCTTCAGAAACAAAAAAGACGTAAGCTTAGTGAGATTCAGTGGCTTGGCCCATCAGGTTGTTGCAGCTGGTTTAGTTTCGAGGACGAGGGCGGAACATAGCTAGGTCAGGTCGAGTGTAAATTGAAGCTCGCCCTAGGACGAAAAAGAATCATCAGCGATCTTTGCTGAGGAACAGAGAGCCACGGACGGATAGCAATCGTACGGAGATTGAAATGCAGGACTGGGCGATGGGAATGGGCAGTGGCAAAGCATTAGCGTGACTTACATGACATTGAGCGACTCGCGATAGAAAGTTCGCTATACTATACAAGGGGCGTCAGCACATGGTATCTGCTCTTAATTTTGCCGTAGTTTTTGAACTTACATTGTCGGTTCTTGCTGTCCACTGCAGGGGACTGTATAAAGGATGGCACCTAATTATCTTCAATCATTAGCAGGTAGCTTATGAAGGCAACTTGTAACTCACCGTGCTCGCAGCTTGGACCATTCCAGATCCAGATCCTGAAGGGTTCGTTCAATGGCTTCTCAGAGGAATAGCGGAGGCGGGGCTGATATCGAACAGTTTCCATGTTAGCATGATTCCAAATGACTGGGCAGCTACACTCACTTGCTGTTCGAAGACCTCTTGTGTCGAGAAAAGCCAGGCTAGTGAGATGCAACAAGTCAGTCAATTTCGTTACACGATTTTGAAGTCAACATACCAAATAGTAGCCACGGAAACGAAAAGTATTCGATATTCTTTGACCCGGAGTGGCAAAGGAATGCTTGCGAACGACGGTTCTGCTGGCGACGGGCCGGGTATTTATAGCAATTCAGCCAGGCATTCAGCCTGCGTCAATGAGATCACCATTATGAATTGTGAGGGCTCAAACGGAAACTACTCTTCAATGATAACTGGCTCAACATTTCATCATTGGTTCGAAGCAGCTCACGGAGACATTGCATTTTGTCCCTGGTGATCAAGAACATGAAAAATATTTTCTGGCTGTTGGCATGGTTTCAACAGTCATGAGGATGCCGCAGAAAAGAACCGACGGCGGTTATCACTATTCACCACTGTGAGTCCGCCCTTTAGTGCGACGGGTGAGGCGACGAGGTCATGTCATTTCATTTCACTCACCGGTGATGAGCCCGTTACTCCACGCAACGAACACCTCATCAAAGACAGGCAAACACCATGCCATATTGCGACGCTAGATTCCTACCAGCCAAACCGCAGGATTCTTCATTGCCTAACTCGTTTATCTGAGAAAATCCATTACGCCTACACAATATCAAGCAGATACAAGCAATGGTGCAACGTGGGACTGATTCGCACAGCCCACGCCTCGCGAAAGAGCTCCTTGTATAGTTAGTGAGTCACTAGATCGATTATGTTTTCGCAGAACAATTTTTTCTGCTATCGACCTCGTCTTTGCGTATGGCAATACCCACATCGATCTCCTGGGAACTAAGTGGACACGGGAAGGTGGGTACTACTAGGAAATATGAGCCAATAAGTGCCATGAATGACCCACAAGTTTTCAGTGGGATGATTGATTGATATCTGGCCATGGCTCCCAGGAGCGTATGGGTCGTAAGTATGGATGCGATCATTGGATACTAATAATAGAATGATATATACCAGAGAATAATGAGCCAATCGGTGCCATAAATGATCCACATGCGCGACAGAACTCCAGTAGGAATGATTGGTCCAAATCTGGCTATGAGCTCCTAGGAGCCTGAGGCTACCATTCTACCCGCCACATTGGATAGCGTTAATACAATGATGTCCATAACGTACCCATGTCTCCACTCTTATGAGCCCGAGATAGAAACGACATTACAAGCTGGCCGTTGAGATTCAGGTGTTGCCTTTGCGGATATGTTTGAACTACAAACATTTTGAGTAGACCAGATCAAACTCTACGTTACTATCATGGAGGAATCAATGAGAGTACGAAACAAATAGCCGGACAGGGTCTCTTACGAGGCCCCTGCCAGAACTCGTGGTTCAATAAATTGTACTGTATCAATTACTGAGGAATTTTTAATATGAGGTAATATCTGGGTTATCTGCTGGAAGTGCCTCATAGCCATAAAATAGAGATTTATTTACTGCGCAAAGAACAGTTCCTTCGCCATCAGTGTCCTGACCACTGCTGCTTTTGGGCCCGATCAAGCTCTCCCGTCGCCTTATCATACTCATGGTACAAAGTCCATAAATAGTTGCGTTGGCTTTCGAGTTCAGAAGTAATATTTTGCCGATAATTTTCAAGCAGCGATACCTGCTCCTTGATTAACAAAACAAATGATAGAAATGTGTCCTTCCCTGGTGCCCTCTTGGATCATCAAGCAATTTTTTCAGACTTAGTAGGAATATTACGATGATGCACATTAGTCTCACGGTAGCGCTCATAACGGACATCAGGGGCGGGTGCTGTGGACGACACGTATCTGTTGGCAGTCATTGTGAAGGTTTCTTTTGCGGGTGCATGCCAGTCAAGAGTCAAATGGGCTATGCTTTTCACGTATTCGACTGCACCTCGGATATTTATATCCTGGCCGAGAAATCATGGGATATTAAGATTCGGCATGCTCCCATGCCAGCTCCCAGGATTGAAGTCGCACCTCCTAGAGCCCCGAGCCCGTCCCTGTGGGTGTGAACGATCAAAAAGACATGCTATTAGGTTACAGTTAATGACGTACAATAGGAGGAAAATTATCTCAACTTTTGGTGCTATTATCATCCTATCCGCCATAAGTACTAAATTATCGGCAGCTCTCCCGCAAAGCTAGACGAGGCGAAACTCACATATCTATACGAAGAACCAAGTTGATTGGTAACCAACTTGTTCTTCTCGTTGTGCATATATAGCCTAATATTTCCCTCCGAACAAATAAGATAATTCATACCTCTGAACTACAACACTCAACGCAGTTAGACATGGGGTGTAGATCGAACTGACGTTCCATGAATCACTCGCCTTGGAAAACCGCTTGCCTGCCCCCTCAACTTTTAGTCTGCAGGCCTTTTTCCCTGCCTCCTTGGGAACGAATGCTTCCCCTCCTCCATCTGTTAGCCTAACTGTTATCTTTTCCGTCGTGAGTCACAAGTTAACTTCTGCAAAGCATCATACCGCCCAGCGTCCCTTGATTAGGCCATTACAAGAATAAAATATCAGGATATTATCACGGGAAATCCCAAATTTCACTCTCATGCAAAGCTTTCAGTCCTTTTCCAAACCTCGTCCAGTCAATACAAGATCGGGATGAGCAACGACAAAATTCCATGAGACGTATTTGGAAAACCCGACTAGTACCAATATGCCGCTTCATTATGCGAAATATCGAGAGAAAAATGAAAGCATAATCGAAGGGTGTTAATGGAGCAGCCTATTCTATGTAAAGCAATTAACAACTGTCATCTTCCAATTGATCAATCTCGGCCATTGCAAATCTGAAATCCGTATAAATCGTTGCCTTCATGAAGACCGCGGTTTGCCCCGTACTTAGAAGGCCATCAAGTGCTAAACTAACCATAGGCGCAGTTTTCGATTTGATGAGGAAAACCAGATGATAGTTTATTCAATCACCGAGTGATGAAGCCTTTCTGGCCACAATGTGGACCCCCTTTCAAAGCTGTTGTGCTTCCCTACATTAACTCTTTGGCTTGGGTGGAACAGATTCCAAAATACTAGGAGTATGAGTTAGGACTGTCTCCGTGTATTACGTTGCAACTAGCTGATGGAATTATTCAGAAGAGTTGTAGCATAAAAACATAATGTCATTTACCGTAAAATGCTATGTTGAATGATTGAAGTAACGCATACAGGGGTGTGGCTAATGATTGAAGGGGCTGGATCTGACTCAAAGTCGTGAAAAGCCTAGAAAGTAAACCAAATCAATGAATCCTTAAAGGGTCTGATATCATTCCGTCCCCGAAAAGGTTGCTACCCTAGCACACCTAGCAATAACAATTGTCCGTCGACTAAGTGGGTCCAGCTTCTACCAATGGCCAATAAATTTCCCTTTATTGCTGCTGACCGCGGCCCCTGCACCGTCCACCAATGGCACAGACCTCAAGGAAATTTCGTTGCGCACTAAGCCGCAAGGACCTCCTCAAGAAACGTGCGATTCCTCTCATGTGGCTTGGCCTATGCTATGAAGCTCCATGACACACCCTTGGTAGGTGCAGATCGGAGCACTGAGACGTCGCTTGCAATATCCCTCCGCAACGAAGGACCTTTCCCGGGCCATCATCCCCCTTCCAAACCACAGGACATCAAAATTGTTGCTTTCCGTGGTCTTGGCTATCTGCGGTTGCTACGCCGGAACGTGACATTCTTCTGCTTTCTGAAACTGCCTGGCTGAAGTTCGGCATTTGCGAATGTGTGATATGTCGAGTCGATTTTCGATCGCGGTGCGAAATCAGTAGCTTGCCGTTTATGAATCGCCCGACTTGACAGTCCTCCCTTCTCTTTTGTCTGAAAGATAGAGACATCAATGGAGATCTCGGGCTGACATCGAGGGGAAGGTGAACATTCAGTTTCCAGAATGGACTGCCCAGATTTATCTCAGAACCGCGGCATGCTCATGCGAAAGTCTTATGTGGAGAAGAGGGGTGTTCTTCAGCAGTCAAACTTCCCTGCACATGTAGACCGTGTAAACCCGGCGCAACACGAAGACAGTGGCGGGAAGGAGCCACCAGAGAAATCTTCACCGAAACACGGCCCAGTGCCAGTAGACCAGCAGAATGGTCAAGCCCGCCTTAAAATATCCGCCGGGACCCCAAGGAACACTTCATTTTTGAAACGGTCATGCAAGTGAGTTTTATCGGATTTAATTTGGTTTCGATTGACTCACGCGGCCTGTAGTAACTGCGGAACGATCCGCACTCCGCTTTGGCGCCGATCGCCGGCAGGAGCCATGGTTTGCAATGCTTGCGGACTCTATCTGAAAGCCCGCAATGTTGTTCGTCCTACGAGAAGGAAGCCAACGCAGCAAGAGCGCGCTGAAAATGCTGCTCCTGCTTACAATCCTTCCGCATCTGCAGCACACGGACCGGAAACGCCATCAGATAGGGCCTACTGTGGCACCAGAGTTTCCTGCCCTGGGAGTGAAAATTGCAACGGGACTGGTGGCGCAGAAGGCTGCGAAGGCTGCCCGGTATATTATAATCGAATCTACAAATCTATGCATCGGGGTATGCCTGCTATCTGCCGAGGCCAGACATCAGGGCCTTGTACTGGCCCGCCTTCAACAACAATAGGGGCGAACGCCGCTCCTCATAATAATTCACTACTACTTGCATGCCATAATTGCGGAACAAGTGTAACGCCCTTGTGGCGGCGAGATGAACATGGCCATTCTATTTGCAATGCGTGTGGTAAGTCATAAAACCCCTTCCTTTCTTGTTGCGTCCAAGAGTGCCATTCGGTTGACGGAAATCAGGACTGTATTTCAAGGTCCACGGCTACTTTCGTCCGATCGTTATGAAAAAGTCGACTGTCAGGCGGCGTCAACGGCAAGCTCCAAAATCGCCGCCTAATCCTTCAGCTGTTCATTCTTCAAATGGATATTCCTCGCATCCGGAAGCATTTCCATCTGCTTTAGACTGTCCTTATGATGAGACAAATGGCTACATAAGCTGCGAGTCCGTCGATGGCGCAGACTCGTTGCCTATTCCTCCTACATCAGTTGATTATGCAGGCCACGCTCTCCCAAAAGTATTAGAACCTGAGCCACTGGGACGTTCTCCAACTCAACAGACCGGACGTCTGTTTCCTGCGATCCGGAATCCTGGGCCACAACAGTTCCAATCTATATCCTCAGCTCCGGAGGAAGGCCTGATTGCTCTCCCGTGGATACTGGATCCCACTCGAGCTCATCGTTGCGATGACCTTAGAGAGGATTATTCGGGCCTAAATCAAACACGATCTTTCCAAATCTCGAGGCCAGGGCTATCGCTCGAAACGCAGGTTATGCCCAGTATGTCTTTCCTAGCTGATTCGGCAGGCGAGCGGTGGGCCAGGCTGAAGCGTGAAGCAGATCAAATGCGTGAAATGCTTCAAGCCAAAGAGCGAGAGCTGGCTGCAATAAATAGATAATTCTTTTTGGCAATCCAGGGACTAACAGTCGGTCGGCTTAACATGGAGAGGCCGCGACACCACACCAAACTCCTGATTCTAACATTTTAAGGATCAAAATAAGCGTATCTATTTCCTATGTTATATGTACTCCATTACTCACGAAGCCTAGTGGATCTAAGAAATGGTATCGCTCCAAACGATATGTATGCTCGTACAATATCAAAGACAGAATATGCCCCAAGATTTTTAGTAGATATTTGTACGGCCACATAATCTATTTCCTCAATTTTCTGGGTAAATAGCGAGGCCAGCTGACGAAATCGTTGTCTGGCCAATGTAGTGATTTAGATGGGTCCGCTGGTTCAACTCAAATCCGCACTGCCAGACTGCCATCCAGAATTTCCCTCTTCAATAAACATCTTTGGCCATTTAATGCAGATTAATTTACGAAATGTTTGGCAATAGTAGCTAAAAAGAATATTGATACGAATTTGACACTGCTATAAGGTTATTTGTGACATTGAAAAGCACTAGTAGACCTAGAATAGAGCAAAACCAAGTTGTAGTTGTTGATATAGTATTTTGCGTTCACTATGTGTTCTGAGATGATCAGCTCGGTGGTACGGTCCACCCGGTGGTGAATTACGTTATAACGACGTCGTGTAATCGAGTCAGATGAAACAGAGAGCTCACTTCAGATGAGAAGGAATTGGCTCGTTTCAAAGCTCATGTGCCAAACCCGCCACGAGTGCTTTTCCCTATTTGGAAACTTTCATCTCCCAGAGGAACGGGAGAGGTACACGCGTCATCCGCCACAATTACTTGTATTTCGTACGCAGGACTCTACTCCACTTGCCACAAAGGGCGATGCCAGAGCCTCCAATCAATGGGATTGGCTTGGTATGTCGTCGCTCGACGGTTTCGAGTTTACACCGAGGAAACCTCTGGTATTCACGTAATCGAAGCAAATAAATTTTAGGGAGTATTCAGAAGAGATAATGGCTGGGTCGTAGAAGTTCACCGAGGGAGTTAAATACACGACTGAAGGTACTTGTCGGCGCCAAAGCATTTCTCTGGGACAGAAAAATCATGCAGTCGAATTAACAGCACATCTTTACCCCGGCGGAATTGACGAGTAAATAAGTCGCCTAGTGAACTAGCGGCTGTTCCTGACTATACACAATAAATTGACCGAGGGCACTGTTGTATTGAGGGATGTTATCAGTCTCCGGTACGTTCACGCCTGAACTTCTTGAGACCGCTGTGACTCTTGACACTCACGGTCGCGAATTCTAGCGGCTAAGCGTACTAGGGAGGGGACCCGCCTAAGCTTACCCTTCTGGAAGAAACCAAAAAAAATATCAATCCGACATGGTGAAAGTCGGTGTCGTTTTGTGGAAGTGCAACGTTCAAATTGGGGGTTGAGAGCATGCTAGGTATCTACCACGACGAACGTCGGATCACGTCCGAGTACTGGAATGGGCGGTGGAACGGCGTTGAAAATCAGCTTCATTTGGATATTTTAGACGACAAACATTATGAGGTGAAGGTGTTTATTCCTTTGGACGAAGGGATAGCGGGAGATCTCACTGTTGCGGTCAGCGAAGTCCACAGTAGTCATTCACCGCACGACGGACCATAACACGACACTTCATTTATATAATGACTACTACATCCTAGTAAGCCCAGTGTGATATGTAATTTTTGAATTACTAGATAGAAACGCAAGTTTAGTGCCGTGGTCATGATTCCTTGGGGGAACAGGACGATTCCCATGGTTGAAGTGGTTACCCAAATTAAGCTAAACATCCAAGCTTTCACTAGGGCTCTTGAGGCTAAGCCAAAGAATGGTCCCGCTTGATCGGCAGATAAAGTAATGGCTGGTTCTGTAGGACCGTATGTGGGTTTAAAATCACTTTCCTGCAAATTGCCGATGCGGTGTTACACTGGGTTACCGATGACGTATTAGACTTCGGCGATACTACGCCTACACAGTCTTCCCTGGATGGCAAGGAGCAAGTTAGATTTGGCCAAGGATGCGTTTGTTTTTTTACATTTTCTCGGCATCTAACCCCGTTCTCCACTGATTATTATGACTGCAATTGCTCTATCTTGCCCGCGCCCGTCACGCAGCTGTCGGCCCTACCCAACGGAGATTATTCAAAGTCTATCGCAATAGCACCACAAGTTACGGAGCGCCCATCTTTATTCAATATGATGAAGCTCTGGAGACATCTCTGTCGCTTGAGCCCCCGAGCATCTCATGTCAAGTACGAACAGATCCGCGATGAAGAGCGCTTCGAAACAGAGTCAGAACTTCTGTGGAGGCGGCAGCGCACGAATCGATTGGTTGCATGGCCAAGTAAAGCTGCAGTATTCCTCTTCTTGGCAAACCTAGTGATCGTCGGACTGCTGCTCCACACTCTCGAGCCTCTGATCACTCTGCTGCACAGAAACGAAGAGCTTTTCAGCCCTCGGGTGGATTTGCCTAGCCCTGATATCTCACATGGTCGTAATCGCACTGCCGGACTGAATAATATACCACTCATCTTGCACCAAACCACAGCGACGGAGACGATTCCAGATCACTGGATCCGGTCGCAAAAGAGCTGCAAGCAAGCTTACTCGGAATTTGAATATAAGGTATATCTATCTATACGCAATTGTGAGAGTTGACAATCTGCAATGCCTACTATGCATCGTGATATACGAATACCCTTCTTTTGAATGCCACTTACCCTTCTTTCTAGCTGTGGACCGACGCTTCAGCTCGAGACTTTGTCGCCAATCACTACCCATGGTTTCTGGATACTTTGGATAACTACGCCTTTCCCATTCAGCGTGCTGACTCGATTCGCTATTTTTTCTTGTATCACTATGGCGGTATCTACCTGGATATGGATACTTGGTGTAACCAGACCATCCCAATTCACAAACTCGGATCCGGCTACGCGAAAGACTATGCCCTCTTCAAGTCAACCTTACCAACGGGTATCACGAATGATCTATTGGTCGCGTCTGCGAGACATCCAGTTTACGCCGCTGCAATCGCCCAGCTACCCGTTTTTAATGCCATTACTCGGACCTGGGCTCGATTGCAACCACACTGTGCGATAATGATATCTGCAGGCCCTATGTTCTTGACAATGGTGGTTAAAGATTACTTGTTAGCGCAATCCTCGTTGCCTTCGAAGACTGTAGGAGTCGTCAATGCAACTGAGCTGGCGCCATTCATCACTGATCTGGAAAGCAGCACTTGGCATCGAGCGGATACGAAGGTGCTGACGTGGATTGGAGATCGACCGTGGACGTGGTTCAGCACTGGAGCGATATGCCTCACAGCTGGCTTATTTATTTTCAATCGCCTGTTTATGTTCCTTCATGGAATTATTCACAAGAACCCCTCTGGTAATTCTAGCCCAAAAGTTTCCAAAGCAGCATGAGCTGGGTGGGGTCACGACTTCAGCATGGAGGAAGGCAATTATTCATGCATATGCCGTGTTTGCAACCAGTAGCGCTGAATAGTTCAACTGGCCGCTTTGGCCATAAATTTATATTGATCAAATGATTGCTTCGCACGAAAATCAAAATTTACCCAGCCCCATCGCCGTGTGGAGAGTAATTGGGCGTTCTCAGTGCAGACGAATTTAATCAAGGTCTTACGCTAAACTTCAGTCGAGATTTTCCTGGGTATTATTCTTTCTATCATCTCTAGATCATGGCCAGATTGGGAAAGGAGGCATGTGGAAGCTGACCCTGTTTCACCTTTGTCAATAGCGTTCAAGCATGGGACGAAGACACAATTTATCGGACAGATAATTATGCAAAGAGGGTAAACCTTTGTGCACTCTTCTCTCGACATCCGGTGGGGGTAAATTATTAATGGCGTGCATTCGCGGTCTATGTGACAATGGCTTGGGGTCATATTTCACTCAAAAACTTCGGCTCAATCCCTTTGTCCACAAAGAGCTCTCTTCAAGGAAATGAACATTCTTGGCACATCGTGCCGGAACGAGAGACGCATGTAATGCTAACAAAAGTTTATAAGCCCCATCTAGAATTCGGAACCCAATTTCGCTCACTGGTGAAATTGTCAGAACAGCCAGCCTCGAGGGGCCTTAGTATAATTTATATTAGCGAGGGTGACTGATATGATCTCAATCCCTGAGAAGAAATACAGAGATGAACAATGCGAAACGAGGAGAATTGTTATCATTTGACTGTGTTACACTTGGACTGTGAGTTTCTAATCTCTGATACTCTCCAAATGACTATTTTCACAAGCAGCATCAGGAACATCATCCTGTCACTCACGAACCCTTCAACAAAGGCGTAAGGCGTTCTGAGAGTCATGACCTCAACTGATAGTTTTTTTCCTCCGTATATGGCTTGTCAGTAACGCAGTCTGATAAAATATTAAAGCGAAGGAGAACGCTTTAAGTTCTAGACAGCCTGCGGGATCAACTATCGCTAGACGTATTCTCTTCGGTACCAAGTTGCGTGTATCACTTGTTCAGTATGTTTTTGGTATTTGATAACATTCCCTTTCTTGATCCAACCTAAGATAAATCTAGAAGGGTGGTCGTAAACTATCACATATAGAATCCACTGCCTTTTATGATTTCCAGTCCATTAGTGCTTCCCATCTCATGCGGAAGGGGCATATCCAGCTGGCTCAAGTCGAATTCTAACTGAGGGCTGTTCTGACGTCTCGTAGCCGGAGGCTCATCGAAGAAAAAGGCTTGACCCAGCATATCGGAAACGGGGTTTGCAGGGGGACTGGGCATAGAATTGAGAGATCGAAAATTACTCTCCAGTCCCGGGGACTGTTCATTGCAGTCATCAGACTCGACATGGGATTGGGTAGTGTCCAGATTTCGTGAAGTCACCAATAAGCTGATTTCATCACTCAAGGGACCCAAAGAGGTTGAAACTGGCGTAATCTCCAAGAGAGGAACGTAGACCTCGCTGCAGGCCGGGTGAGGAGGGCTCTTGAGATTATATCCAGGGTCCTGTCCCAAAAGAGGCGGGACAAAATACGTGTTAGAGCCCGTAACAGAAGTGGCGAGATTAGTGGTCTCGGAAGCCGAAATGGATAAACTGGAAATCAGTGAGGTAGCGGGGATGAGAGGCCCCCGCTTGCTGCCGCCTCGAGCATTGTTTTTCGAACGATAGTAGTCCCAGCCGTGGGCTTTTTCCATGTGCTGCTTGCAGTTGCTCTGACGCTTGGATATATAGGTGCAAGGTCTGAAAATACATCTGAATAGAGCGGGGATGACCGAATGCTTGTCATTAATATGTCGATTGCGCTCCTGCTCAGATGGCCAGCCGATCTGGAAGTATTTGCAAGAGGGCTCAGAGCACTTCCATTGACGCAAATGGGTTTTCTCGTGTTTACTGTGAAGATTTTAGCGAATTGATTGGAGCAGAATTTCAGAGGAAGGCGTTTACTTCAAGTCACAGGGGCGCTTGAACACCTTCTCACAATTGGCGCACTTCTGATTGATGTTCATGGGAGGAGCATTCTTCTTCCGGCGAGCCATCGAACGCTGCTTGCCTTCATTGATTGCCTCGTCAAAGTTGATGGTACATTTCTAGAAAGTGGGTGCCCCAAGAATAAGAGTAGATCAGCTCGATAAAGGTGAGTGGGATTAGACTTGACAGGGAAAAGAGCCTTTGAATCTGTCAAAGGGCATGAAAACCGGTAAATGCTGATTGGCCGACGGCATTATACAAGTGTGACGTAGTTAGTCGGTCTTCGTCGCATGTGTATGGTAGTTGTAATGTTGTGGATTGCTGTGGGTCATGACCCAGTGATAGATATAGGTCTAACCCTAATGCATGAGTAGTGCGTATCATGGTGACAGGACAATACTATCAGTACAAGGGATCCAACAGGAAGCCCCACAAACTTCACATTACGTTAAGGTGATTCGTCCATTCGCCCCCCTACCCAACCGGCATGCCTATTTGTCGATTCTGGAGAATGCAGTATGTTTCATTACCGTGGCCGACCAATGAGGTTCCAGTTGACTAGATAATTGGATGTGTTCTAACTATAGGTGTGGGGTTTATTTGACAGGATTTGTGTGCTTGAATCAGCAATTCTTTTACAGAATAGGATATGAAATGCCACCGAGTGATTGAGTAACCTGTGGTATGCCAATAGAAATCCTGCTTTCGACACAAGTTTCCGGCTACATTGACCTAGTCGAGCTTGGCTGCCAGCAATGCACGGACCATGCTCCAGCTTGCGTCATCGCCTTGTTCCACCTGCAGCTGACCCCAATTCTCCGCGGCGCAAAACCTGTCATTGGGAAAAACAGCTGCTCTGCCTCCCAATCCCAATGATGGCAGCGTATTCCAATGGGTATTGATGTAAGAGCCTATGATATTCGCACTACGCCAGTGGTTCTCGAGTTCGACGCGTAATGTATGACAAGAGAACATGGATTGGATAGGTCGTTTGGTATTTTAATTGGTATTTAACTATTTTGAACTAGTATTTTTTTGTACAGAGGATATGCATATGAGTACTCTGAATTACTGTTGGAAGGAATAATATACAGATTGTTCATGAGACAAAGCAATAAGGCCTCATTATGGTCTGTTCATCACAACAAATCTCCATTAGCATTCATAACGGCCTTCCGACAGGCAACTTAACCTTTAAAAATATCTTCATTGCGAGGTATTTCACCTTGCGGCTCCCCTCGACAGTTGACAAAACTGATGCTGGAAAAGTGGTCAAGCTTATGAAAAGAACGACACATTCCGCTTGCTATCTGAAAATGATTTAGAGGCTGTTTCGATTCCACCTGCAGATGAACACACGATACATTTTTGCGGAAGCGCAACGTATAAGTTGGGAGTTGAGGGTGAACTTGACATCTTTTCCGATGATCAGGCTCGTATAGCCTCGATATACTGGTGCGGGCCATGGTGGCGAGTTCGAAATAAATTCGAAATTAAAAGCGCCGACACTGAAGATTATGCCATTACAACTTCATCTTTTCACGAAACTGGCAACTTGGGAGAAATCTCAATCAATATTACGCGGGCAAGGGCTTGAGATACTGCAGAATATGGCCGACGGGTCCCCATTTGTATTATTATTGGCAAAAGGCTGCCCTTGAGAAAGGAGTTTGATATTTCTGGATCCATATTCATCTTCATATTCCTATCCCTATTCCTAGCTGCCAATAGTTACTACCAACTACCCCTCAACTTCCAATCAACCCTCGTAGCAGCCCTTAGATCATCAACATTAAGCACATCGACCCCCTCCCTAACAAGAACCCTCCAAACATAATTCCTCAACCCAACCGGGCAACCCGGCGTCCCCCAGTATCTAACCTTCAGACCTCTCTCATGCGCCTCACGAATCTGATTTCGCAATTTCCGTAAATGATCCTGCGAGAGTCGACTCAGAAGTAACGAGCCGATTGATTTGCGGAAATCCACGGATGCATAGTAGCTGTTCAGTGAGGAGTATGGTGAGTGGGCTGTTGAGGATGATGATGGGCCGTGCAGGGTGTCCAAGGGTGCGTCGTAGAATATGTCTCAGTGGGCGTTGTTGCTCAACACGCGGTAACCCCGTATCGCTTGGGGTATCTCGTACAGGCACAAGGCGGTGGTCAGGCACAATATGTCGAATCGTGTCAACAAAAAGGACCGGCGAAGTGGAGGAGAAACCCATAGCCTTTTTCCAGGCTGACTATGGATGTCCCGAGAGTGACAACTGTGCTGGCGAGAGACCCTGGGTCTTTATAGTGCTGTGGCCCGCCTTTTTGTTGCATGGCTGCGATCACCGTTGAGGGTTGAGGATAGTGAGGGTGCCAATAGAACTGACCCTCAGATTATAACATGTTAATTGGTTTACTATCAATTTTGTGCGGCTTTCGGTTGGATTGCCGGCTTTATTCTTGGTGATCAACCAACCATCATAAGCTCAGTTTGTCAAGTGTGGTAGCATCATTTCCACGTGGATCAACAGACCTATTTCCGCGGTCGCTCTATCACCACTTCATCAAGTTGATAACTGTCAATCAACTTCCAAACGTCCAAACCCAAGTGTCTGAAATCCGATCGCGGCCCCACGTTGGACCGTCACCTGCGCAAAAATGTGATCGCGCTTTTTCCAGTGGGGCACCCCCAGGACTCGATTTGGGCCGGGGCCTGTAACCTTGGGCTTGGAACATGGCACATATTCAGACCTAGAGCATGTGGTCCACGGTTTCTATTCTAATCGCTTTACTACACAGAATCTTCCCCGACTGATCTCCGTTGAGGTTGAGAGGTGGTCATGGATCCACGATGAGAGGAATCTGCCGGGTAGGCGTCGTGAATGGGATGGATTGATGGAGATTATTTTTTTGGGTAACCCCTGAATGAAAAAGTACTTTATACTCTTGATCACGACAGCTAATTGTAATAGAAAAACACTAGGAAATAGTTCTCCCCAAGAATACACGAAGGTACCTGGTCAGTGCGTTGATTTTTCGGGAGCCCTTAGCGTGGAACAAGGCTGACTCCTCAAATTACTAGGGGGAATTGGGTGAACGATGAATACGCCTATCTCGAGGAGTTCTAGTGGTATTTGACCACTCCCTCATTTCGTCATATACATATAAATGATTCGGACACTGGTCCAATTTTATTATCAAGGGCTCTGTCCAATGGAGGTGAGCGGTCAAGTAATTCTCATCTTGGCGCCTAATTGGCTACCAGAATTCCGCGAATGTCACCTGTACCATCCCAAAGACAATACGTAATGGTGAAGCGTAGGAAACTGGAGCGCCCGGGTATTCTTTCTGGTCCTGTTCCCTCATGATTAACTAACTGGTGAAGCATTTTTCTTTTAGGACGAATTTGATCATCAGGGCAAGTAAATATAGTTGGCTTTCGCCTGGATTTTCTTCAAAATGCCCTAACTGTTACTCTTGTCTCCAAGTGAATACTTTCTATCAAAAAATCGGCACCCAGCGATGAAATAAACCATACTGTGGTGCTCCTCTCAAAATGTCCCTTAACGGTGCAACTAGCAATGGAAAAACACCAGTCCATGAACGAGATGCTCACGCAGCCTATTATGAGCGACGTCTGGTCAATGTACAGCCCGCCCGTCTAGATGACCTTCAGCCGAAATATGCTCAAACAATCAACCATGATGACGATAACCCAGACGTGCACGGATGGTATGCATCATGTAGTAAGTTGAATGTTTCTAACTGCCTGAAGTCTTGCCCTTATCTCAGAGAGTACTTCTAACTACTTGAAACGTCTATTTTAGTTCATAGCCTGGGGTAATGCATCGGTTTCCGTGGAGCCTTTCCATGCTGCATCTGCTGCCCCAACCCATTCAAGCCAGTCAATCAGGGCCAGGTCGGTCTGGTCTCGAAGTTCGGACGGTTCGTGACATGCTTCTTCCGACCGTATAAAAGGAGAACAATACTGATCTGAAAACGTAGCTTTGAACGGTCGGTAGATCCTGGCTTGGTAAAGGTGAACCCCCTTAGTGAACACCTGAGGACAGTGGACGTCAAAATTCAGATAGTCGAAGTGCCTCGCCAGGTGTGTATGACCAAGGACAACGTGACCCTCCACCTCACATCAGTTATTTACTACGGAGTTGTCTCCCCCATAAAACCGCCTTCGGCATTACAGATGTACGACTGGCCCTTGTTGAACGCACCCAGACGGCACTACGGCATGTAATCGGAGCTCGCATCCTCCAGGACGTGATCGAACGCCGCGAGGAAATAGCACAGTCGACATCGGAGATCATCGAGGAAGTTGCTGCCGGCTGGGGTGTGCAGGTTGAGTCGATGCTCATTAAGGCCATTATTTTGCACCTGCCATAGCACCTAGGCTGTTATTGTGATTGCACTTCAATACTACTTTTACTTTATCTACCATTATGAAATCTTCTATTCTTTTTACCGTCGGCATTGCTGTCAGTGCTGCTCAGGCCAAACCGGTTAGCAAACGTGCTATTACTGATGCAGACATCCTCAACTATGCATTGACTCTCGAACACCTTGAGGCAACTTTCTATGCTGAGGGTCTCCAGAACTATACCCGTGGTGATTTTCTCAATGCTGGATTCGCCGACCCCTTCTACGAGAATCTGATGAAGGTCGCCTCTGATGAGAAGGAACATGTTAGCTTCCTGACTGATGCTCTCCAAGGTATGTTCAGTATTACTAATTGGAGTCATCTCACTAGTACTCACTGTCTGTACAGCCGCTGGCGCCCCTGCCACTGCCGCTTGTACCTATTCCTTCCCGGCCACTGACGTAGAGAGCTTTCTAGCCCTCGCTAATGTCCTCGAGGGTGTGGGTGTCAGCGCGTACCTCGGAGCCGCTGCCTCTATTGAAAGCAAGGAGTACTTGACAGACGCCGGCTCTATCCTCACGGTCGAAGCTCGTCACAGCTCCTATCTCCGTGCTGTTGCTGGAGAAGTTCCTTTCGCTCAACCTTTTGACAACCCCCTTGATTTCGATGAAGTCTACACATTGGCGTCTCCCTTCATTGTGTCATGTCCTAGTGGCAATCCTACACTACCCGTCAAAGCTTTCCCTTCTCTGACAGCTGTCACTGATGGCACTATCATGACTGGTTCTAAGGTTTTCCTTGCCACTGGCCAGGGCTTTGCCACCACCGGGCCTCTTCATGCCGCCTTTATCACCGTCACTGGGCCCATTTGGGCGACAGTATCTCCTGCGGAAGGCGGCTATTTCGTTACCATCCCTGGTGGCATTGCCGGTCAGAGCTATGTGGTCTTATCTTCCAGCAATGAGAAAGTCTCTGATGAAACCGTTCTTGCGGGCCCTGCGATTCTTGAGGTACGTTGAAAAGGATGCATCTTACGTCTAACTGAAAATATTTTCCGATCTTACATACCATTTGGAATTTTTTTATGGTCGCATGCTCAATTTGCCTCAACTGACTCTTATCCTTGTTTTGCAGATTGGCGCCAAGAACGGCCGACTGTCAACCGGTTGCACTTCCAGTAGTAGCACTACTACTTCTGGTAACTCGCCCGGCCAATCTACTGTGCCGAGCCAATCTGGACAGGCTCTTGCCCCAAGCCAGACCATCCAGTACGGTCACTCGGCTACTCCTAGCGCAAGCTCCCTCTTTACTGGTGCCGCTTCGAACGTTCAGCCGACTTTTAGTTTACTTGCCTTCATCGGTGTCATGGCTTTCTTGTAATTTGTTTTTCATGGCTTCTGAAACCACTGTCGCTGTCAAATTCCTTTATTGCTTTGATTGTCTTTTTTCTTTTCTTTTGATTTACAGTTAGCGGTGGGACTCGATAAAAGGCCTGATCCTTCTAAAGTATATCTTAATGGGCTTGCCGGAGCTGGCCGATAGTTATGCTTGTGAGGTCTGACTTTTCTTAGTTTTATTTATTGTCAGTATGAGGAATTAATGTACTGGCTAGTACTGAACATGTCCGATAGAATCAGATTATTGATTGATTGTTAAGATCGGTTGAACGATCTCAGGGTCTCTATATTCGAACTATGGCGTGTTATGACACCATACTAGGAGCAAATTGGGTGAACGATGAATAAGCCGGTCCCGAAGGGTCTTAGTTGTATTCGACCACTTCTTCAGTTCGTCATTTATTTTTAATTACCCCTTAGAATCCAGCTGCCTGGTGATTACTAAAGCATCTATTCTTCACATGGACCGGAGCAAATGTAGATAAGATTCTCTCACTCGCCATCTCATTGATTCTCAACTCGTCCATGCGCATGACGGGATCAGGTACACGAAAGCCTGCTGCGACGTGCCGAAGTTCACCCAAGTGACTGAGTTTTTGACCGACGCTGCTTATGTGCACAAAAGCCATTTCATGGCTTGCCGATTAAATTTTTGAATCTGGACATACTGCTGATGACCTTGTCTATATTTTTGTATCCTTCCTTTCTTTCACCTTTTTTTTTTCTTCAAAGGATAGATGTATTTCTCAGTGCAGCTTTAGTCCATTTGCGCTCGTCATAACTTAGCTGCTAATGCGTGAGATAGCCATTAACACCAATTAGTCACGTCCATTACGTGGTCCTGGTAGCCGGGTCTTTGATGCCATTCTGAGGAATTGGTAATCCTACATTCCAAGGAGCTCGAGAATGTGTCTCCTAATTGGCATATACTCATTCAGGAAAAAGCATTGTTTTGCACGGTCGATGGTCTCAAAACCTCGATTCAAAAGAATGTTTAAACCCTGAGACAACAGACAGGATAGCTAGAGTCCGGATAGTTCGCTGATATAATTTGCTTGCAACCCTTCCTGTAGGTTTCCATGTCACTAATCACTTTGTTTTTCTGTTGTGTTTGCTCCTTGGAAGAAGTGAAACAACTTCTTCAAGACTGAGATGTAACACATTTCACGCATTTGAGAGGTTTTCTACCGGCATAACAAAGAAAGAAACTATTTTAATTAGGACAAGTAGTGGGTTGCAGATTTCCCTGGCCTCTATCGACAACAACCCCGAGTGGACCGAGTTATTCAGCGCAGGTACCGCTTTGGAGCAGACGCGAGCCAATCGTGTATTGTAGTGATCGAGCGGGAGCGAGATCAACGGAGAGCGCCAGGAAGTGCGCGTTCAAGGCATAATGCATAACGTCTGCTGTGAGCTAACCTTGAATTATTTCGTACTGGAGGGGTCCAATTTGTATGTTAACAGAACAAACCATCGCTACGTGTTGCTCAGGACGCGTCCCATCCATTGTGGACCGGTGTTGAAACCCTTTCCTGCTATTAGCAGAAGTTACGATAGTAAAAAAATCCCAATTTAATGTAACTCTCGGACAATCCTGTTCTGGAGCTGTAGCATGCACTATGCTAGTATGTTTTCAGATAGGGGGTATTCAATCACTTTCTCGGAATATTTTATTTTTATTTTTAAAGATGTTGAAGTAAAAGTTTAATGAGAGTAAGTGTATTTTCCAAAATGTGAGGGACGAAGTGAATAGATACGCGGTCCTCGAAGAGTTTTAAAGGACCCGATTGAGAGTGCACTGCGCATTCAGGTCAAGGTTAATCAAACCAATCTGTTCATGCCGATCAGTTACTTGCAATAGGTCAAAGAGAATTCAATAGCGCCGCACCTGTTCGACGTCATCTTCGGAGCAACAATACACATCGCCACCAGAGCAATTGTCACCAAGAAGACCCGGGGCAATATTGCCCAAGGACAAAAGACCACCATTGCCATTACCCCTGCAGATAACGATCTGATCACTGTCGCAGGTGCTGCTTTTTGCGACAGATCCAGAGACAATAGTTGCCATAATAGCCAATGAAGTGAGGGATAGCTTCATTTTTAACGAAGAGTTAAGATGTTTGAGGAGATCTGTGATTATTGGATGCTTGGCTGCTTTGACCTTTGATTGACAAGTAATCGACCGCACCGTCTATTACAAGGAATCATGGGTAGTATAAATAACCTAGAAGGCAGAAAAACTTTTTACATATTTAGGAAAGGAGGTCACCTCAAAAAAGTCACTCACTCAAAGACTATCAATACATACACAATTGAACTATGGGATTCGCACAGGATGACGCAATTGACCTATGAAGGAGAACCTGCCTGATCTGCAAACAGCTTTATGGCTTTTGGTAGGTTTAGATCGGCGAGGAAAACCCCAAATAAGATGTAGACTCACCACGTAACACTTTGTTTCAAAAGTCAATTGTCGGCCTAGAACTTATTGAACTAAAACATTTCGTTTTCCGATTCTGCACGCGAGAGGTGAGGTAATTGAACCATAGTTCTAATTACAACGAATTCGAAGGGAATCTTGAGGGCTTCTGATTGGCCTAATTTGCTCCCGGGCTCTAATGCTGCACAGTGTTATGCCCTCGAGCTTGCTTGGGTATATTTATTATTCTCTGGACTACGACTGCATGAACAGCGGAGTATATGAAGGGGGTTTGAGATAATTCGAAGCATCGCGAGCGAATTATCCTAGGAGCTCCCAGTGAGTGCTACTAGACATATATATCGACCCTCAAGACCGGAGACCACCTCGAGTTAAATCTAAGAGGCTTTCTTAATTTAATTAGGATAAACAAGCGGGTACTTGGAGCAGATACACTATCAGAAGTCTTTCGATATACTACAGCTATAAATATAGAGTAATATTTTCTTTCTACAAGTTATGGAAAAGCTCGATCGATAACGACAAGATTTGGCTGGGGGCAATGAGCTAATATTGATACCGGCAGCTAAGAGAAGTTCTCTTCGATCTTCCATACACTCCCAAGCCCTCTATCTACTAAAATATCTCGTTTCCCTCCTTTCACGATTCCTGAAACCTCCACTGTCTGTGAGGAGCCTCTCGGTCTACATTTCAGGAAACTTAGCTGCGGCAACCTATCTAGTGCGTCAAATAGCAACTGAAGATGAGGGTAAAAGCGATATCTTCCTACTATAGGACTGAATTGCTAAATTACTCTTCGATTAGGCCAAGACTTGGTCTGGTGGGAATTATGTTTGCCATTGTGAAAAACAGCTTTGTGTCCTGAATACACTTGATGCGAGAGCTAGTTAGCTCTCGATTACGAATGACCTTCAGATTTAGGTGTCACCTCTCCAACCTAGCGAATATGCCGGTCTGCCCATCCTCCTTTACCTAAGATGATAATTGAATTACCGTTCGTCTCGATATGGATGACAGGGACCGATCATCTTATACTATGATATAATCATGACGACCCAAATTTCTTGCGACTTTTAAACTTCCGATGAACCACGTGATGAAGCACGGGTCGTCACAAATGAGCAGAATTTTTCCCAATCACGACCCACTTATCGCTCCCGCTCCCGCTCTCGCTCTTTCCATGTTAGCTAACTTCAGATCGGAAGAATCGCCCGATCTACCAGATATTTCAATTCCAAGGATTCTAGCAACCGAGTTTTCGCACTAAGTAAGGCCAACCTCCATGCTTTCTTCTGGTTAGCAAATGACGATTCTCTTAAGAGTTCCCGCCTATTAGAAATCTCGTTATTCTGTTTTTATTTCCCTCCTTAACCAGCGCTCGCGACCTGGCACGGCCAAGGGAATATTGGAACCACTTCATCTAGATCATGGTCTAGCTTCAAACACGTTCTTGGTATCATTAAATCATCCGCTCAAAAATCCTCAATTATACTTTCTCCAGAAAGTGTGGTGACGTGGAAATTAAGAACCATTCAATCTTTGCAGAACCTGCTGGCCGCAACCGTAGTTATTTCGTTACCCTGCAGAGAATAGAGTTATGACACGAACTGCACGAAGTAGACTGCTCTAGACAATCTAAATTCGCAAAAGAACCGCTCTAGTGATTCTGGCAATGCACATAAATTCTACTCTAGCCCATGTTTGATTACTAGTCTGTTCAACTTTGATTGAATTGAGATTTACTCATTTCGACTAATTATCTTGGCTTGACTTCTATCTGATAATACATCCCACGCTAGCCATGAAGGTTAGTCGTTGTGTATTGTTTGGAGCTGCTGTTGCTGTTGTCCACAGCCGACCTGCCGTGAAACGTGCTATCAATGATGGTATCTTTCCCAATCCAAAGATAAAATCTTCTATCTTACAAGATGGCATTCTGTACTAACAAAGTTTAATGAAAAGCAACCATTCTCAACTATGCGTTGACGCTGGAGCATCTTGAAGCAACCTTCTACCAACAGGGCCTACAGAATTACACCCACGAGGACTTTCTGAATGCTGGATTTCCGGACCCTTTTTATTCCAATTTGGAACAGGTCGCATCAGACGAGCAAAATCATGTCGAGTTCCTTACAGGTGCCTTGACGGGTATGTAGAACCCATAATATGAACAAATTCGTCCTTAATAACGGAATTTCAGCTGCGGGTGCTATGCCAGTTGCGCAATGCACCTACTCGTTCCCAGCAACCGACCCGAAAGGCTTCGTTTCACTTGCAAATGTATTAGAAGGTAGCTAAGCGTCATTCTTAAACCACCGGAAATCTTTTCAACGCTGACACTTTCGACTCAGGAGTCGGAGTTAGTGCATACCTTGGGGCAGCTGCTTCCATCGCAAACAAGACCTATCTCACTGCGGCAGGAAGTATCCTCACAGTAGAGGCTCGACACAATGCCTACCTTCGGGCTGCACTAGGTCAGGTCCCTTTTGCTCAACCTTTCGATACCCCACTTGATTTTAATGAGGTTTACACGCTTGCTTCGCCGTTTATTACCTCGTGCCCGTCCACCAATTCTCAGCTACCAGTGAAAGCTTTTCCGTCTCTGACAATGGTTCCCAGTGGGAATGTCATGAATGGATCCACGGCGACTTTGGTGCCTGGTCCAGGTTTCAACTCCACAAGTAATTCAAATCTCTCAGCCGCGTTTGTCACCATTACCGGGCCTGTATGGGCACCTCTTAAACCAATTAGTAATGGTCAGTTCATCGTAACCATTCCTGCAGGAGTCGAGGGTCAAAGCTACATTGTCTTGACAAGTAGCATGAGTGGCGTAAGTGATGATAATATCGTGGCGGGTCCTGCCATTGTTGAAGTGGAATTAATGTAAATGGCATTATTTGTTGATCTCATTGGTTTTTTGCTACCTGTCAGATACTGAATTCCTTCCTCAAAAGCAAAAGTTTTTTCAGTTCTATAATATACTGTATAATCAACCGTTGGTTCTTGGACTTCTGGTTCATGGAAAATCAAGGAGAGAATGTATTCGAATTGATCTTCACCAAGAGACCAGCCTGCGATGCAGAGCTGAATAAAGAATGTTTTATATGGGGTTGTGACATAACGCGATAGGGACCAGTCGATTTTGTATGATCTAGTCAATCTACCACGGCCTGTACTTGACAATTTCACATCTTGCTCAAGAAAGGCATAAAGTCATATGGCACGTTTCTCAAGCAAAATTCTGGATCAAATGAGCTTTCTGATATTGTGCCTTGATGGGACACTGTTATTACTCGGATCACTCATGTCTGAGTAGGCTATATCAAAAATGAACCGTAAATTATCAACTGTATGACAATTCAAACACCAAAGCTATTGTATCTGAAGCATAAACCTACTTTCAGCCGGCTTCCATGGACATATTACGTTAAAGTTTTTTTGAGAATACTGGTAGTTGTGAGGTCAAGATTCCGCTCGTCTTACACACCATTGTTGAGCTGACTAGGTTGAATCACTATAAGCACAAATCTGAACAAACAGACTAGGGAAATTTCCAACTCTACTCAATGTGGTCCGTAAGCGCCACTAGCTCATGGATCAATGGAGTGATGAAATTTGAGGATCACTGGAAGCAGTATTGTTCAATATTAGGTCTGTTCGGACCCATCCCTAAATAAAGATGCAAAGTCTCAAAGAAGTATCGAAACTGTTCACTGGGCTAGACAGAAATAGGAACAGGAAAGCATTAAAATACTTTTGAAATTTGTCCTCGTAAAATGCGCCCATGGACTCACCATGATTGGTTTTCAGGCCCCAATTTAGGATGAAACTTCCGATATTCATGAGCAACTGTTCATTACCTTTGCGTAATAAGTTCCTTAGTAGGAAAGTCAAAGCCATACGAGAGATACTAGAACAGCGGATTCTCCATCTTCGGCAGAAGATACTCGTACTAGTTTTTACAAACTCTTATACGCGTAGCACCATGCTGCGTGGGGGCAAGTTTCGTATATGGAGTGATGAGCACTACACGAGCCAAAAGAGACTTATAGGCTACAGGCGTCCCAATTACGATCTTCCATGCTCCTTTCATGCAATAGCGCGCCCAATACAATGGATTTCTTTTTTTTTAAATTCAGATGTCCTAAGCAGGATATGCAAAGTGGTGATTGAAAATTAGGTTTTACCCATCCCGATCAATACCAGTAACGCGACATTCATAACGGCGATAAGAATCCAGACAAGCACCGCTACGATGGATGTGATAATGTGATTCCGCATCTGGAATTGCTCCACTTCAACCTCACCATGACCTTCGCGGGTCTGCTCAACAGGGACAGCCATGTAGTGGCTAAAGCATGTAAACCAAATGAGTGGAGCAGATACAAATGGCAGGATAATGCTAAGAACAACCTGACTCGCAGTCAGTGTCTTGTCTAGCCCTTCCTTACCAACAGCAGCGGCGATTATAATGCTGGGAATGATACTGATGGAACGAGTAATGAGTCTTCGCACCCACGGTTTGATACTCCATTTCAACATGCCCTCGCTGACCATCTGACCTGCCATGGTGCAAACTATGCCAGCAGAGATACCTGACAGTAGCAGAGCCAAGGCAAAAACCAGACCGGCAGCCGGCGCGATGGACGAGGAAAGGAGTTTGTGGATAACAAAAAGGTCCGCATTGGCGCCACCGGGAACATCGTAGAGAGAGGCACCCGCGACAATGAGGATGGCGCTGTTGACGAACAACGCGAAAGTAAACAGCGACAGTGTCAGCTCAATAATCGAGTATTTCATGCAACCGCGGATTGCGTGGATGGTAGGGCGATACTCTACTTCACCGCCATTATTCCCAAGAGGAACGTTGGATTGAACATAGCCTGCAGTGACGTCAAAGTCTTTCAGACGAGACTGAACCACTCCGCTGCCGAGGAAGAGGGAGTGTGGCATGACGGTGGCACCGAGGATACCACAGCTTTGATAAAGACTATAGGCGCAGGTAAGTGCCATTCATTTGCGGTATATTCCAGAATCTTTGTCTCACCCTTCAGACTGGACAATAGCAGAAGATGGGAGATAGCCCCGAAAGACCTCTCCGATAGATTGATTTTTGATGAGCGAGAGCTGAATGCAGAACAAGATGACAACCCCCAGCACAAGGGCCATGACGAAGAATTCGAACGCACGCAACCCCCACATTGATCCATTGGGTCGCCAGAAGATGAGTAGGAAGAAAACATCCACCAGGGTGATAGCGCATCCCGCCACCAAGGGAATGTTCAAAAGCAAATTTAGCGCAATTGCTGAGCCAATCACCTATTTCAATTATCAGCACATAATACACAACGCTTGTATTAGGAAATACGCACCTCCGCAATATCAGTTGCAACGATGGCCGCCTCTGCAAATGCATAGAGTATGTATACTACCCAGCGTGGGAGGTGCTCACGGCAATTCTCAGCCAGGTTGAGACCGGTGACAGTGCCCAGCTTGATACACAGGGACTGCAGAAGGATTGCAAAGAGATTGGACAGGAGAACGATGAACAGCAAGGCGTACTTGAACTGTGCGCCGGCCGCAACGTCCGTGGCGTAGTTCCCCGGGTCGATATAGGCGACCGCGATGAGAAATCCGGGCCCGACAAAGCGAGCAAACTTAGCCAGGCTGCGCGCACAGGACAAGGTCGACGACGACAAAAATGACTTAAAAGGACGGCAAAGTGATCCGTTACTTTTCGAGTGCTGCTCATTCCTTGAGGTCGTAGCAATCACTTCACCGTCGAGGGCCTTCTCGCTTGCGGGATTCTGGTCCTCTAAGCTGTGCAGTCGAGGGTCGGTGCATATTGTGTCGTTCCCCACGGTACTTTTAGTATTTGCAATGCGCTTGTCGTGCACGCACGAGCTGGTCGTGCCATTAGAGGCATTGCGTGTGGTGGTGTCCGGGCTGTAATGTGGCGGATTCTTATTCCTGCCCGGGTGCTCGAAAGTGTCGTCGGTTGACGGGGGCGAATTCATGGTGTATTTGTGCGGCCTGACTGCAGGGCTGGGAGCGGGTTTAACAATATTCTTGCGGTCGGGTGCCAATTAGGCACCATCTGTCGGAATGAGATTGGAATTGTAGAAAGCGTCCGAAACCCCGTGAATGCGGTGTTGCAACGGCGGCGATCTAGAGTCAATGATCTTAACAGAGGCGGGCCTAGCCCAGCCTTCTAAACTCTCACCACATATATTGTGAACTGAGGTAAATGCAAGATTAAAGTGCTGCCTGCTCATGTCCTCAGTCATCTGCCCTCATAAGCGGTTTGGAGAGTATTTATTGTCGCTCGCGTTGTCGCCCTATTGCGGAGTGTGCATTGCAAACGGAAATAGGCAAGAGGGGAATGGTTCAACCTCACCGAAGAATTAATTTCTACAAATATACATACTGCATTCATCCCCGGTTCAGATGAGGAACAGACGCGATACATCATGAAACATCGCATCAGGAGACCCTTGAGATAGTTTGGGCATTCGTGCGCATACATGAGGATGGCTCCCAACAGGGCTATCCCGGCATTGGCGGCACCAAGAGGGGAATTGATGAGAGACATATCGCACGATGGCTGCAAAAGAATAGTCGTATTGCAATGAAGGTGACGGTGAATAATTTTGCTCTAGTATCATAATCGCCGTCCATACCACCAAACCCTCCATTTTCGCGTCTACCTCCAGTAATCATTTTTCGATATGTCAATTTTCCCCCATTATAATAAAGTGCCTCTTACTCAAAAAAAGAATGCGAATTGCTATTTCAGCTCAGAAAAGTAACCAAATAATACTTCTTTCCACATCAGGGGCTGCAGCAGTATTAAGAGTGTCTAAATTACCCCTCTTGATCTGCTTGAATGAATCAGCCATCGGTCGGAAATACCCACCAACGGTGATAAGTTAACGGTTGTTGAAGAAAAAAAAACATTTTACAACCGCTAGGGACTGATACATAAGCAAGGCTTTCAATTCAACCACACTTTCTATTTGGGATGACATGTGCTCCTGATGCCCGAAGTACAATTTCAATTCACCAGAACCAAGCTGATCATATATATCATGGGCCGTTGAAAAAATAGCAGCTCGCTGAGCTTGCTGGACAGCTGAAATTCTGGCCGATTCAGCACTTTCTAAGTAATGATGAGCAAATTAATTCGTAACGACAGTTGGAATATTTCTCACATTAGATTGCTTATTGCTTGCAATCCATACAGCTCGGCGTTTGTATGTACAGTATCGCAATTTGGATCTTTGTTCCACTTAAGAACTATGCCGACTCGTAAAGGCAGAAAATTTCCGCATTGGCCCCGTGCCGATCAACAGGAGAAAAACATGATACGGAGAATGATTCAGATCTTACATCATATATTATTATTACTTTTGTTCCTGTGCCTTTACAAGAGATACAACGGCGCGTAATTAGGACCTTTGTAAGCATCATTTGGACCAGCATCGACAAGACCTCCTTGGAGAGGGGGAAACCAGTTCAGGGCTCAGACGATGACACATTGATACATTTCCGAGTATGTCTACCGGCACAATAAAACAAGGAAATTTTTTGATTACGCCAACAGCGGCCCGCAGATCCCTGGCCTCAGAGCCGCGCATAGACAATTGTCCTGGGGCGGACATAGGTATGTCCCACCATGGGCAAGCGAGGGCCAATCGGATATTGTAACGCCAAGCGAGAGCGAGAGCGAGAGCGACCGAAGGCGACCAAGGGGATATTAGAAATGGTATCGATCGACATCTAGAGTCACGACCAATAGCATAGACTCAATAATTCCGGGTTGGGGTTCGCGAGGGGCATGCCATTCATCGTATGTTTGTGTGGTCAGTGCCGCTTAAAATGCGAAAG